AATAGTGCACAGCACGTTTTGGATGAGAAAGAAGGAGGAGGAGGAGGGGAAGGGAGGAAGAAGAAGAAGGGAGGGAGAGAGTGGGAGAGTGATGAGAGTAGAGAATGGAAGGAGCGAAAAAGGAGGAGGCGGCGATGGGAAGAATTGGGAAGGAGCGACCACCACCACGTTAGTTATTTAATTAGTTAGTACACTACACCATCTAATTAACATCTGTGCTGACGACCATTGAATTTCTTCCAATAAATCAACGAGTGACCGATTGTGATAGCTACGACTCTTGCGCACTTACTCCCCGAATTCTACGCGAAACCATCATCTGTTTGACATGAGTCGCGCGACCGTAGGAGGGGAGGGACAGACAGAAGTGAAAGGGAATGTACCTGCATGAAGCTGCAAGGCTGGTCAAGAAACTTCTTTCCCCCCAAGCACCCTTGTCACTGCAGGCAGGCAGGCACTTCAGAACGTGCCAACAATCATCAATCTTCCTTCTCATCATGAACAAGAGATACCATTAGTTGGTCAACTTGTTTTACTGGTTACTAAATTAGGTTATGCAGGTTGCACCAAGTGACCCCCCCCCTCCCCCTTCCTTGGGCCCCCAATGTCATCCTGCCGTGGGAATTGGACCCTTGGGTCTTGCATCCATGGTACTCAAGGCTGACTGATGGTGATGATGATGATCAGAGAGGGAGAGGAAAGAAAGGAAGCAGGAAGAAAACAAGTTCCCGAACCTTCCCACGATCGCATCGGGCCAAAAGAAATGGTGCTGCCTTGCTCGGGAGTATATCTAATGAAGATTATGTCCGACAGAACGTGCGAAAGGGAGAAAAGCAATTAAACGGTGAGTCTCCACAGTAATAATTTGTGCTGACTCCCATCATTAGTATCCTTGGGGTAGATAGATAGTTAATACTACTAGTATCCGGATAGTTCGGTGAGATGAAACCAGTCAGCAACATCCCTATTGAAGGTATCATAACCCAAGGAGGTTATGATATAGTTAATGGTTGTTGATGATGATACATTATCATTATCATTATCATTATCATCCCTCGTGCGCCCGACCGGGATCAACTGCCCGATTATTGGTTCTGGCGGGACTAGTCAGGCACACCCGCCAGCATTGAATATGCAGGTACACAACAGTTATTATTTAACTGCTACATAATTTACTTGAGTATTTACTGCTGACGGAGAAAACTCCCGTCGCGAGAAGAAATACCAATTTCCACTTCTGACCTTGCCGAACATCTTTCCTACATCATCAGTCCCTTCTATTTATAGGCCGGACCACTCTGTAGATAAGTATCTAATTTGTATCATCCTAAATTCTCACATGACTCGTGGTCGTTTCATCGGCCCCACTGGGAATGCATCACATTGCTGATTGGTGGATAGCTCTGCGAGCCTCAGGCACTTCAACCCACGCCGGGACTGACGTAATCCCCCTGCCATCATAGTTAGTTAGTTAACTTAACTAAACCAATTAAGGACTAGACAGTAAGTAATTATACCAATTGAGACGAGAACAACCATGACAACGAGTCTATAACAATGTCGGTCAATTAAAATGATTATTGTTATAATACTAATAGTTATGAAAAATTTTAAGTAAGATTGTCTAGTCCAGTTATTGAAGGAGGACAGAAGTACTACTAGGAATAGTACCGCGACTTAGTAGTTGTAGTTGCTACTATCATCGCGACTTCGACTTCAATCAAAGCACTGGCATAATATATAGTACTACCTTTGCAGACGAAAATGATCTATGTTGGCAATCTAAGTACAGTAGTAGGAGAGAGAAAACAATTGGCCCGAAAAGAGATTTCATATATTATTGTAGAGAGAGGGAGAGAGAACAAGATAAAGTGAAGGAAAACCACAAAAAAAGAAAAGAAAAGAAAATAAGATAAAAAAAAAAAAAAAAAAAAAAAAAAAAAAAAAAAAAGAGAACTCGAAATATTGCTTGTATAGACATTAGACATTAGGGAGATATAGAAACAGATAGTAGTCGTATGTGGAAGAGAAGAAAAGAACAGAACAGAAAAGAGATAAAGCCAAACTCCAAGACAACTCCAGCAGATACCAATCTATATGGGATGTTTTGAAACACAGACTTACCACTCATTGCATAACAGTCCGCAAATCGCACGAGAGAGACTCACCCTTTCAATTACCCGCACGCTCACTCCATATTCTAGGAACCATTATTTGGGCCAACACCTTACATTTAGTATGCACTCTGATTTCCAGGTACCCCTTCACACGAAATGTCGCAGTCACAGAGATGCATTGATGCGAGTATACACCGCCTGCAGCAGCAGGTTGTAGGGCGCGTTCGTCGGCGGGTATGTCAGACAAATTGCAGGTCAACCGGGCCAGTACGCGCGAATCTGCAGTTTCGTTGCGCCAGAGTCAGTGCTGTTATTGGTAACATGGCGGGACACAGCTTACTTTGGCCATCGCTCATCTTCAGAAAGAACGTTTTGACAGGGGGCTCCCCCGGGCGACTATAAAGATGAAATACAGTCTTGTAGGGTCTATCTTCCTCGTAGACATGGCCCTTGTGAGGAGTTAGCAAAGAGCACCTCATTACCGAGAAGGCAAATGAGAAGAATGTTCTCTCTCTCTCTCTTCTCCAACAACTTACCTTGACCAAAATCTGTTGGGGCTTAGCGGGCGCATCGAGCTCATCAATGAAAGCTTGCAGACATATTCCGGGTTCCTCCCGTAATCCTGAGCATTCGATGAAGTAACTCTTGTTACATGTCTGGTTCTTCGTGACGATGCCGCTCAGGCCCTTTCGCGCAGCACCGAGAGATGCAGATAGTTCACTGCCTTTGGATCAGCATGTAGCACGCCTCAAAACCTCTGAATCTCACGGTGCTTCGGAACACAAGATCCTGGAAAATCCTGCATCTTTGAACCCCTCCGAAAATGCCTCCCGCGCAAATTTAGAGCGCATCAGCCCCCCAGTCATCAACAATTCCTGCAGGTCAATTAGCTTAGAATCAAGGAGTTACTCAGAACCTGAACGTACGTCGATCTTGAAGTGGCCACAAGTGGCTTTGTCCACCTGTTCGTTCACATGATTGAAGACTTGGCCGACAACGGTGTCAAAAAATGCCCGCATATCGCTGTCGGACAAGATTATATGACCTGCCGTTGAGTCATACCATTGCGACGTAAAGCATTCCATCCGGAATTTAAGACGATGGTTACTTCCATCACCAGTGAACTCTTCCTTTCTTTTTTTGAATTCGTTCATGAGTCTTTCTCTGCGATCAGAATTGTCGTCGTTGAACGGATTTATGAAGGAGGCGTTGAAGCGATGCCTCATGAGCTTCAAGAACTCTCTGTCAATGATGGTACTCCCAGACTTGGGGCCTATGGTGGATGCATTAGCTCTTCGTTCGTATACAAACCAGTGAAAGAACATCCTTACCTATGGCACTGCTCAGTTCCGTGAGTGAATACGATGTTGCAGTTACATCCGTGATCATATAGCAGGCGATGTCCTAGCTTCTTGTCAGGATTTGAAACGTTGAACAATCGCGCATATTCTACTCACAACCGTGCCCCCGCCCACATCGCACACGCAAAATGTGCTTCCGGACTATTGGCACAATCTTTCATTAGCCAGAAATATTCCCTGAGGTCAAGTAGGCACACGTACGAACCTTTCTTCGTTCCCCAGATGCCCCTAGGATGGATATCGCGGACGCCTCGCTTTCAGTAACAAGGTAAACTTCCTCATTCGGTTTTTGACCAAACCCGGCCAAGTGGATAGCCTCACTCATCCGCACTTGTGCATCGTTGGACCAGCCCGCCGGAATGGAAAACCAGTACTCCTTTTTGATGTTTGGTTGACTAAAAATGTACGACTGCTCCAGGTGGTTACGGATCCCGCTGAGGTAGTCGGCAACGACACGCACGGCCGACTTTCCGGCTGGCAGCCGCATGATTCGTTGTCCCGAAACCCTCTCCAATTCCTCGTCCCGGAAATCTGTTGACTCCAAGTCTGGGTCTAACAGGAGTTTGGTCCACCTGAAAGTTTCGAGCTCAGGTGTAGCCTCTACTCCCCATCGAGGTTGCATGCCACTTGGGTACTGCATTGTCGATGGCAGTTTGGCCCGGGATTGAACTGGCCATTCATCCACTTGATAGATGGGTGAACCTATGCTTTGCTCGTCAGTACCATAGCCCCAAGCAGCGGCTTAGGTACGGTTAGCCTCATGCATGATGTATAAAAGCTTGGGAACCGTCAACTCACCGGTACCCGTCGTGCCGTAGTCAATACCACAGACTAATTTTGACTTGGCCTGTGACATATTGTTACTGGCTCAACTTAGGGCTCACTTGTAGACCTTGGTATATTGACTGTAACGAACACTCGTATGATAAGGGGACTTGAAAATGGCAATTCTGAACTGGGGGCTGGGGTTGGGGTGTGGAAGTGGAGATATCGCTGACACTCAAAAGCATCCAAGAGGAGGGGGGAAAGGAGGAGAAAGCAGAGATAGATTGTATTGCCCTTTCATGTGTCCCATGCTGCCCAACACATAAAACGTCTGCTAGGTCTCTGAAGAGGGCAGGCAATTGTCTCGGAGGGAAAACTGGCCGTCCCGGCAGATACGAGGCTGGCTGATCACTAGTCTGGAGACCTCCCATACCTGATAGGCCTGTTCTCACTCGGCTGTCTCAGGGTAGAAGGTATCAGGAGGACGAGGGGGGTAATAGAGAGAATGGGAGAGAATTGAGTTACACCTTTGAAGGTCTAGATGCTGCATCTTGCGTGTTGGTTGTCAAGGGGAAGAACGGGGAACAAAGCCACTGGACCTCTTTCCAATTCCTGGTTTCTCTAACGCCCTCTCATCGTCTTCCCACGTTACAATTACTTCTCCATTGCCCCTTGGTCTTTCTCTAATTTTATCGTCTACTTCTCATTTACCTGTCTTCCTCGGCTTTGCCTCTCTGCACAGCTCCGAACCGCCGACATGGATAAGACTTCTGTTCAGGTAAGTATCCTCTCGGGCTCAGACTCAAAGACCCTCTTGTAAATTCTAGAATGCAGACATCGGGCACACGCTAATTAAACTTCTTTCTTATAGGAGGCATCCTCCCCCGCCGATACCGACCGTATTTCCGACCGTCATGCTTCAGAAGACGAAAGCTCACCCCAGATTGAGGACGTCGAAGCCCTCAAGGCCGAAGTTGCCTTTCTCCGGGACAAACTGGAGATTCTTCAGGGAAAAGCTTCGCTCGACTTCAAGTTGCAAATGCAGATGCTTACTGCCGGGGCCACGGGCTGGCCAGATTATGATTTCGAGGTCTTGGGGGACCACATCCGCCGGGTTATGTATCGCATAGAACATTGGTGCCAACAACATGCCCGGCAAGGTATGCCTGATACCGTTGAACTGCATGACTTGGAAAAGCAAGCCATCATTCATAGCCTAGAAGGCTATTGGGTCCAAGATTTGGAATGGGATACACTGATGAAGTCTCTTCCCTACCCTTTCTCTCTGTATATGTCGGAGGTGCTCGCTCAGAGTATCTTGACAAAGAACATCGTGGATAAGTTCTTTGTCAACCCATTTTGGTACCTTGAAGGAGAAGGTCTCGATCGGCAGGATCATACGACGGGTTCAGTCTCCTGTGCACAGAATCTGCAACATCTGTACCGACGATTTTTAGAAAGTGGGAACTTCTCTTCCGCATCCTTCTATCATCCCCATCTGATGCTGACCAGGACTGCAGCAAATGGCATCAGAGCCACCATTTGGAAGAAAGAAACTGTCCGTCTGTCAAATTCGGTCAAGGTAGTCCAAGCACCCAATCTCGAGCTCGGTCGGCAGACAAAGGAATATCGCACAAATGCTGTCGCTTTGTTCGCCTCCACCCTACTTTCCGACGTCTTTTTCCAGAGGCTATTATAAAGTGTGGATTGCGACGAAGCGACGAAGCGAGAGGACAGTCTTCTGGAGTTATGCAAATTTGCTGATGAGACAGCAATTACCCTCGGCTCCAATCAGGGACATTGTGTGTATAAGACACTGCCGACTATGGGAACCACCTTTGATCCGAGATCCCACGAAGCGACAGTCCATAACCTCCATAATGTCCGGGGTAATGCTGACGATGCCAGATTGGCTGGCCGTCGCATCCTAGGTATAACCCAGCCGGCTGTAATACTAAAGCTAAGGACTCTGAGGTGTGACGAGAACGTCTTGAATAAAGCCGAGCTATTGGTGGAACATGGTGACTACACCGAGGAAGATCATGAGCGAGAGCGACCAAAGCCTTCTGCAAAAACCCTTGAAGAGGTTGAGACGGAAGAAGAATAAGTAAGGGAGATAAGTTCAGGACTGTGTCTGTAGTATCTTTTGTTAGTATATATCGTTTTGTCTATAATTGCCCCAGACTGTCGAATGTTTCAATGCAGTGATTCGTTATTTCTGTATATTCCTCGCCTCATCACTCCTATTCACTACAAACCATTCTCATTAGGAACTTTGCTTCTCTTTCTACGGCAAAGCAATTTTTAAGTCATTCATTATCAATCTATCTCACGCAAGTAGTAAAATGGGATGGAATTTAACAATGAGATCGATAAATTCGGTGTCTCTAGCGCAATGCTGCTCGTTTGTACACAAATGCCTAAGAAGCCCGAATCAGAGCCGTTGTCCTGCCCTAGAGCAAATACGCAATACCGTTATTATCCGCAAATCCACAGGGGACGAATTACTATACAGTGATGATATAATCAGTAATAAACAAGCCTCACACAACAGACAGGAGGAGATTTTCGTGTTTTGCCTCTATCTTCAAAATCTTCAAAGTAATTATCTCATCCAACATATCCATCCGAGAGAAAGGTTTCCAAGAAGATGCCGCCGGAGAGTTTGGATTGGATTGGTTCCAATGCTGGAGTTTAATACTCGGAGTGACAAGTCTCCGAATATCCCGTTCTTACAGGTCCAATGAAATAAGGTTTCGGGGTCTTTCGTACTACTAGTACTTATGCTCGCGCTGTGAGTTTAGGGGGACAAGTTGTATGGGAGGTGGTAAATGGATCCGTAGAACACACACAGCCGCCTCCCCCCCACCACCTTCTCCTTTATTAAACTTTATATCAAAGGTAGCTATTAACATTCGATGTGACGAATATAGGATGAAGCCCGACAAAGACAGGGTTTGCGGCGTCCCCTCGGGGTGTATAGGTCCCCAGGTCGCCAGGTCGTACGTATTTTTGGTTCTTACCAGTATGGGACCTGGTTATTACTAGTACTGACTATCGGAAAAACTAAGCTGTAAAAATACACTGTCTCACCAGGTAGTAAATCTGGTAAGGTCTTATATTATTAGAAATTTTAATTAATTCTTATTAGAAGATCTAGTAATTTCTAAATAAAATTAAAAAAATCTAACCTGGAGAGTTTTAGTTTGTGATAGAATAACCCAGCTGTCAGGGCCTTGGGTATCAGGATGATGTATTATAGTAGTTATGGGTAGAGTGGTTAACGGCCAGGGTAGGCCGTAACTTCGATAGAATTAATGATGGCCTTGGGGGTGGGAGAAAAAAGTGAAAAAGAAAGTGAACAATTCAAACTTTACTAAACAAGCTGCGGTACAACAGGCACGCACACTGAAAAGAAATATTAGTGAGACTGAGAGTCGACGTTTCTTTATGAGGGTGCCATAACTATTTGCATCAGGGTAGGTAGGCTTTATGAGGGCATTGTCTGAGACGAGTTGGTCCCGTCGTTCTCATTCTTTGTCCCAAGGACTCTCTCTAAGCATTGCCTCCGCCACCGAGTATGCTGGTGTGGATGTTTACCAGTCGGTTCATTCACCCCTTGACAACAGTCCCCGATAACATGGGGAGAGATTAATGTTCGTATCAGCTTACTGATAAAGGAGGACGCAATTGAAGCGAAGCATGTTGATTTCAGGACTCAGATAACAATTTAGTTTACTCCATACTGGGTCCTGCCTGACTGATCCGATGAATACTCAAAGAAAGAAATATCCTCCAAAAACAGTCTCGCCGTCCATTCAATAGATACCAAAAGAGAAAGAAAAAAGAAAAAAAAAAGAAGGGGGGGGGGGGGGGGGGAGGAAATATATTAAGAATGAAATAAATAAAAAGAAAGAGTGTGAGTGAAGAAAGAAATGAAAGAAGAAGATGGCAAATTATGATTTAGAAAAAAGAAGAAAGAAATCGCGAAATAGGCAACAAACGGAATCCGAAATACGTTACAGAAAAGCGGTTTACCGAAGCTGAACGAACCGGGTGCAGCGTTTGTTCATCCATGACTTGTTGAAGACCCAACCATTCAGCTAGCTAGCTAGGTAGCTAGACCGGGCAGCGACATCTTGAGCAACTTATCCCCAGGCGGTAAGGACCTGGCAATGTCCACAAATAGTTCCATTCGCCGAAATTCAATGTTCAATTCCCCCTTCTTGAGGCAGAGGATGGCGTTTACGTCGATGAGGGCCTGGCACCAAGTTTTTCCGTTTCTTACTACTCGAGGGTGGTGGTCGAGCTGGATGTCTGACAGATTGATGTCGACATGGGCCGGCCTTTCTAGGTCGTCAGGGTGGATCATATTGCGCTTGTCTTCTGGATCGGATTTATCAATCGCATAAACGGTGACTGTCTTGATCATAGTCGTGTCAACTGCGTGCAGAAGCTCAAAGCGACGGGAGTAGAGAAAGTTTTCCTCGTAAGACACATCCTTGTAAAAGAGCCAGGTTATTTTGGGGGGTGTCCTTTGCATCATGTCAATCCGCCTGATAATAGGTCGCTCCACATTGTCTCCAGTGGTCAGCATGAGGTATGGGTGATAAAGTCCATAAGTGCGGGCGCATTCCTTTTTGATGTAGGCAACGTTGTGGACGCCCAGGAGAGCCAAGCCAGAGGCAGTGGCAATGGCTGGGTGGTCAGGGATGATCAGCTCAACGTCTCGTTCTTTGGCAAACTCATCGTATCGGATTCTCGCGTACGGTGAGTTGATGAATCCGCCAGTGACACACACATATTTCACTCCACAGCCTCCATGTCTGTAGCTCTCTCTGTCAGCCTCGTTTAGTTGAGCTCCCATTAAGCGTATGGAGTTGTCGATGACTGCCTGAAAGATGTACACCAGATCATCGGGCGTGAGAAGGATTTCGCTTGTTCGGGTGTCATAAAACCTCGAGTGGATGACATCCAATTTTAATTCCAGCCTCCACTCCAAGTCGGTGCCATTGTACCCTTCTTTGAGCTCGACGAATTTTACCATAAATGAACTCGCCATAGCACCTTCTCTATGGAATGCTATCTCAAAAGCCTTGTCAAACCGGTCGATCATCAGATCTAGAAAACGCATCTCCACAGTCATCGCCCCGCATCTCAGGCCTGTTAAGGTGTTAGTAGAATGAAGTAACTGCCACGATACAGGGCTATGACGGCATACCGCGGGATTCGGTTAGTTGAGTGAGCCGCAAGACTGGTTCACGCGAGAATACACGGTAGCTTGCCGAGTCCTAGCTGATTGTCAGAGAACTGACTTGAGTATCTGATCAAAAGGCACTCACAATAGTATAGCCTCCCACGTCACATATACAGAAGACATCCCCAGTCTATTGTGTCATAGTCCTATCGTCAGCAGGCTCAATCACCTTGAACCCCTCTCAATACTCCACTCACCTGAAATCTATCACCTTCGCGTTCAACTATGTATCGGGCGGCCGATTCAGACTCAGAGGTGAAGTTAACACTTCCTGGAAAATGTGAACCGATCCCTGAAAGGTGGACAGCCTCTCGCATGGCCATGCGGGCAGCATCTCCCCAGACAACTGGGGTGGAGAACCAAAAATGTAAAGTCGTCGCAGGGGTCAAAAGAAGGCTCAGATATTCCATCAGGAAGAGACATACTCCTCGGAGGAAGTCTGCGACCATTTGCTCAGGTTCCTTACCCGGCGCTGGCTCTACTAGGGTTTGATTTGTAACCCTCTCAAAATTAGCATCTCGGAACTCATTGTATGGGGTCTGGCGATCCAGCAGTTGCTTGAACCAAGCATATGTTGGCTTAAACGCGTAGGCAAGTGACCCCCACTGATAATTGCCTTCCGGGTAGCTTAAGACAGAAGGAAGCCTGCTTGTAGGCGTAGTCAATCCCGGCCAGTTGTGTATGATTTGAAAGGTAAAGGCGTCTTGTCCTACTTCAAAATGGGCTGAAGCAACACCTGATGGAGTAAGTGCCTGCACAAAGCCTCCAGCTTGAGAGCCAGCACTCACTGGTAAATGTCATCCCAAAGTCGATTGCCACGACCATTTTTGAAGTACGAGGTGCCATTGCGATTGGGGTGAAATATGTCTATTAACTTGTTGTGAATGTTATGGAGGAAACAGAAGACGGGGGGTGAAGTGATTGAATCGTAGGTGGTTGCAGCGCAGAAAAGGGGAGTCAAAGGTGGTAAAAATTCAAAGACAGAAGAGACAGCGACGAGACTATATCAATGTCTGGGGAAATCAGTCACCGTCCGTCTACACCTTTTAAATCTCTCAAAGCTGGGTGCAACTTCCCATTCTCGATGGGAATCATGGCCAAGGCATCTCGGAACCCCACCGCTGATGCTCTGGCAGTCGGCAAGCTGATAGGCCTTAGTAGGTTCCGTTGTCTCGGAAGGTTTCGCCTCGCTGACAAAACAGCAAGATATATCATAGGCCGGCACACTCGTACAGTTCATTTAGAAGCGCTTGCACGACTGACAGGTCCGAAGAGGAGGACGGAAAGTTGAGAAGTCAACGGATAACGGACAAAGAAGCCCTGTTTGCCCCATCGCGGACAACGAGGCTGTCAATGAGACAGACTCTTTCATTGCCCAGTCTTGCTCTGATAAATTTCAGGCAGTCCCTTTCTCTCTTCGTATCGACTTGTCATCGCTCTTATCACCCAGACCAGGCAGACCAGCCCCTTCAAGATCGGAAGTTATCTTCGTGCCAACATGGGAAAAGGAAAGAAAATCAGAGTAAGCACAACAATCATGGTTTTTGAATTAGCGAACCGACCCCTAACCAATCATGCTCATCCATCTAGAACACCTCGTTGCATACTGTCCACGAAGACATGGACCCTGTTTCAGTCGAGGAGGCGCCAGGGGAGAACGAAACTATCCGAGAACTCCAGGAAAGGATTGCTCATCTCCAGGAAGAACTAGATGACTTCAGGAAGTTGTACAGGAAACAATGGTGGACTGCAGGCTCAGACATACATGGGTGGGAAGCAATCCCAATCGAATATGACCAGAAGTTTAAGAAGCTCTTCTATAGGGCCAAGTAATGGGCTGATCAGTGGGTGGAGATGGAAACAGCTGCTCTGGCAGAATTTTCTGCCAGTGAGAAACAAACCATTCTTCAGAGCCTGGAAGGCTACTGCGTACAGGATTTGGACTGGGATACCTTTATAGAGTCCCTGCCTTATCCGATCTGTGAAGTGGTTCCTCGTGCCCTCGCCCAGACAATGCTCGTGAAGGACATCGTGGACAAGTTCTTCGAGAATCCGTTTTGGTACTTCGAAGGAAAGCCTGACTTTGATGACACAGAAGCTCCAAGAAAGAGTTGTCTGTCCCTAGCAGAGCATTTGCAGCATGTATATCAGCAATTTCTTACCGGTGAGATTACAAATTCATTCCCATATCCAAGTTCAGCAATCCATTCGTACTTGTACTGACTTGATACCATAAAGTCAATCCAAAATCAGCAAGTCTCTGGAAGACCGAGACCGTCCGACTTGCGAACTCCGTTAACGGTAACCAGGCCGATAACACCGAACTAGGCCGCCATACGAAGAGCCGACGCGAGGAATCTGCTCGATCATCTGCTTCCGCTATGCTCAAGCACCCGCCATTCCGGATGCTCCTTAGAAAATGTGAAGACACCGTCGATAGGGAGGCAACGCTAATCAAATACTACGAGAGAGCTGAGCGGTTGGCAATCGATCTCAGCTGTTCTCATGGGACCTGCACATATCGAAACCTTACACGGCTGGCCTCTCCCTTGTTCCAGAGAGGGGAGCCGTGGGTAACCGCAGACTACTGTCATAGTATCCGACCAGATGAACCCAGACTGGACGGTCATCGCATTCTGTTTATCTTGCAACCGGCAGTGTCGCGCATTAGAGGAGCGTTCCCGGACGGTCAACTGGAAGAATGGACCCAAGCTGCGGCCGTGATTGAGGATTCCCAGTGCACAAAAGAGGTGTGGGAAAAGCGGCTAAAGGAACAGAGTGCTAAGGACGCCGAGACGTACGGAAGGGAAGAAGAGGAAAAGGCGCAAGATAGGGCTATACTGGAGAGAGAGACAAGAGAAATGGAGGGATGTGAGGAGCAACAGAGAGCAGAGGAAGATAAAAAGAATGATCCAAGGATACAGGGAAAGAAGAACGCCCCTGTGAAGCAGGAGGTTGAGGAAAAAGGCGAAGAAGAGCCAGAGATCTCAGCTCCCAAGCGAGCTCGAAGGACAAGGGGAACAACAAGAACGAAGGCAATTGAGCAGGAGAATGAAGAAAGAGGCGAAGAAGAGCCAGAGAGCCCAGCTCCCAAGCGCGCTCGAAGAACAAGGGGAACAACAAGAACGAAGGTAGTCCAGCAGGTAGAAGGGACAGAAGACGGACCATCGGGAGAGAAAGTTGAAGCGAAGAAGAGAGGGCGTTGGGCAAACAGAAAGACTACCAAATGAGGGTTCCTAAGATTTCAGGGACTGTATGAAGAGTGTTGCGCATTCTGCTTCCTTATCTGATATTTCTTCGCGGAGGTTTTTGTATTCAAGTCTATCTAAAAATATGAACTGCGTTCTTAGTCCAATTTACTGTCTATCCTAACTTTAAAATTAGGAAGCGAAGGAAAAAAAGAAGGATGGGACGAGCCGGGCTTGAACCGGCCACCTCCAGATCTTCAGTCTGACGCGCTCCCAGATGCGCCATCGTCCCTTGCTCATGCTTAGATTTTGCTCTGTATAGTGTCTAGAAGGAAGTTGCTTGATGAGTGGTTCAGTACACAAGCATCCAGATCACATGTAGCTATGTGACTGACTATGGAGTACTGCACTGTATAGCGTCACTCGTAGACAGACGGAATCCACAGAGTGCCAGAGGATGAATTGGTGCTACACAAAATTGGTAATCGCACGTGTAACCACTACTGACATGATACATCCCGTGATGCTATTAACTTCCAGCTATGTATAGAACTACCCTGGCACATCGATCTAAGCTCCATCCCCTTGTTGTTGCTGTTGCTGCTTCCATTGGTGAGCTCTTTGCAGCAGCTTCGACAGATTTGCCGCTGACTGGTCGTCCGCCGGGAATACGTAGTCCATGTACTCCTCGTACCGGTCGTCGTCCAACTTGCGCCGCTTCTTGACGCGCCGGGGCATCTGCTTCTCGATCTTGTCGATGTCTTCTGGTGAACCGTGCGTGTGCTCGAACGACCGCCAAGCATTGAGCAGTTCCACGCGCTGTGTCATGGTTAGTCAGGGATATGTCAGAAAAGGAACGTTGACGACAGCTTACCTCTTCCTTGAGCTCCTTCTCCTTGAACACTTTGTGGGCTCGTTCGAAAACGGCCCGAGCACGACGCTTGGCATCCTCGCTGATCGGCCGCTCCTCTTCCTCCTCCTCTTCCTCTTCCTCCTCGTCGGGAACATTGATCTCGAAGCGGGCGTAGTTGATCCACACCTTGACGTGGTCTGTCTTCTCCAGCAGACGCTCGTACAGCTGGCGGACCCGGTCGTATTCGCCCTCGTACTCCTCAAAGTCGATGTACGACTTCCACACCAACTCGGGCATATCGAGAGTTGGTTGGTCAATCCCAAGCTCGTAAATGGCTCGTGCACGGTCGGTGTCGTCCAGCCCGCGCTCCAACTCGGCATACTTGATCCACGACTGGCTGTTGGAAGGATTCCACTCGATCTGCTTTTCGAACAGCGTCCGGCACCGCACGAACTCGAACAGCTGGCGCTCTAGATCAATGTATCCCCGGAAGAGTTTATCCTTCGGGCACATGCCGATGGCCTGGCCAAGCGTCTTGCGAGCGGCTTGGAGATTCATCTGACGGATCTCAAACTGCGCCTTCATGAGCCAGATCTTGGCAAAGGTGAACTTTTTGTGGGGAATCAACTTGAGACACTCGTTGTAGATTTGGCGCGCACGCTCGGCGTCCTTAGCTTCCAGTTCCTCCCAGATGGCGTAGAATATCCAGAGGTAGATATACCGTCTCCAGTGCCGCTTCTCCTGCGATGGTGGTATTTGAGCGATCGCGCGTTCGTAGATGTCGCGTACTCGGTCGGGGTCGCCCGAGGTCTCCTCAAGCCGGGCAAAGTCGAACCATATGTCGTAGTTCCGCGAGTTTTCTTTCAGTTGCTCCTCGTATTGGACTCTGCGTTTCGAAAGAATCACGTCCTCAACGCCTTCCCGGTCACCATACTGTTTCTCAAATGTCGTATAGGACTTGTGAAGCGCCATGGACTTTGAGCGAGGAAGTCGATCTAAAGCATACTTGTAAATCGCCCTAGCACGCTCATACTCCTTCAACTTCGCCTCGAACTTGGCATAGCCGATGAACAGCTTCTCGTCCATAAAGTCCTCTCCCAACGTCTCGATCGCCATTCCATACACCTCCCGCACGAGATCGCTCGTTCCATACTCCTCTTCAAACCGAGCCCACTTGATCCAATTGCGTGGTTCGGGGTGAACAATCGTGAACCGCTGGAAGATCGCGCGCGCCCTCTCGAACTCATTGTACCGCTTTTCCAGCTTGATATAGGCGCTCCAAGCTCCCTCTTCCGGCTCCCAAGACATCCACCGCTCAAAGACCTGCCGTGTGCCCGCAATGTTGCCCAGCGTCTCCTCCATGTAGACATACTTGTACCACAGCTTATCCACCCGAGGCAAGATCGTCACCGCACGGTCGAGTAAGTTCCTGGCATGGTTGATGTTGCGATTCCGCATCTCCGACTCAATGTACCGAATCCACAGAACCACCGAGGTCGGGCTGACGTCCAGCGCCCGTTCAAAGATTGAGCGCGCCCGGCGGAACTCTTTTTGCTCTAGCTCCCATGCCGCATAGCGCATCCAATTGTTCATGTTAATTCGGTTCCGACGCACATAGTCTTCGAATTCTTTTCGCTTGCGGCCCTGATATTCGTGCAGTTCTTCCAGGTCGGCAAAGCGCTGCGTCGGCGCCTGCAATGCGGGCTCCTGCCGGTCCACGGCCTCGCGAAGCAGCTGCTCCGCTGAGATCTGGACGGGCGCCGCGGCCTTGTTCTTGACCCTGGGAGGGCCGCGTGACGACTCCATCGTGGTATAGTTTATGCGACGATAATCGATCGGTAAATGAGGTATAGATCGAGCCGGACAAGGCCACCGAGAGTTCTGGTGTGCGCGTAGGGCTAGAATAAAGCCGGCTCAACTGATAACACGTCCAGAAATCCCAAATCAAAGGCGTTGTTCTGGCGACTGGGCGGTAGTCGAGGTTGATGCTGATTCCAGATTCCGAATGAATGCTGCGATCCAAAGTCGGGCAAGCTGCGGTGTTGGTCTCTGGCGCCACCCCCAGCCACCGCGTTGCTGACTCAGCTCCGGCCTGCTAAGCCCAGTCCGTGTGGCGGCGAACCCAAACCTCGAACTTCACCTGCATCTCATCTACGCGGCCTTGCTTCTACTTTGCGGACCTACACAGCTTGTCTGCTGGTCACGCTGCCGAATACCCATCATGTCAAATGCGGAGGATCTCTTGAGAGATCTTGAGGAGGACGACGAGGATCTTCAGGCTGGTGATGGCCTCGAAGAGGAAGCTGTCGATGAGGAGCAGCTGGCGCAAGCGCCTGAGCTCACCAACGAGTTTGACGTTGCCTTGTCGACCGCCGACGAACTGACTCGTCTACACAAAGTGCTGCGCGATCACTACTCTATCCGATTTCCTGAGCTCGAGACGCTCGTGACTACCCCGATCGACTACGCGAAAACTGTCGCTATTCTGAAAAATGGCCCGCTCAACGATATCAAGGCTCTGTCGACCTCGCCAGATAACATGGTGGGCGTGCCACTGAGGTCGATCTTGGATGGGCCATCCCTGATGGTTGTGGCCGTGGAGGGCACCACCACCCGAGGCCGGGAGATGACCGAGTCCGAACTCAAGACCGTGATGGATACTTGCGAGCGGATCCTGAAGCTCGATCGCGAACGTACGGCACTTACAGAGAGCATCCAGTCGCAAATGAGCCAGATCGCTCCCAACTTGGCGGCTTTGATTGGACCGGAGACAGCGGCTCAGTTCTTGAACCAGACCGGAGGTCTGCTTGAGCTAGCGAAGATCCCCGCGTGCAACCTAGCTGCACAGGGCTCGAAGCGGTCGGAGGGACTGGGATTTGCTACAAATATTGGTATTCGCTCTCAGGGATTTCTGTACAACTCGCCGATTATACAAGGTGTCCCGAACGACCTTAAGCGGCAGGCCATTCGCATCGTCTCTGCCAAGATGGTCCTTGCTACGCGAGCGGACGTCTCCAAGTACAGTCCTGACGGATCGCTTGGTGAAGAGCTGAAGCAGCAGTGTTTCCAGCGTCTGGAAAAGCTTACGGAACCCGCGCCGAACTCGGGCGTGAAGGCGCTCCCCGCTCCGGACGACAAGCCGTCCCGTAAGCGAGGTGGACGACGGGCGAGAAAGGCAAAGGAAGCTGTCGCCATGACGGAACTCCGCAAAGCCCAGAACCGGGTTGCCTTTGGTAGGGAGGAGGCAGAAGTCGGATATGGTACCGGAGAGGGAACAGTCGGACTGGGCATGCTTGGCCAACAGAATGATGGGCGGATCCGCGCGACTCAGATCGACCAAAGAACCCGAGCGAAGCTTAGCAAAAACAACAAGGGATGGGGTACCGCAACCCCCGTCAGTGGCACATCTACATCTCTCCGTGCATTCGGCTCCAATGCTAGTGGAACGGCCAGTGTGCTTCAGGCGAAAGGGTTGCGGACCTCTGGAGTTGGCACCTCGCTGGGAGGATCAGCCGGTACTGCCAGTACTATTGCCTTCACGCCCGTGCAAGGGTTGGAATTGGTGGATCCTAAGGTACAAGCTGAGTTGAGTCGGAAACGCAAGGCCGAGGAGGATCGGTGGTTCAAATCTGGCACATTCACGCAAGTTGGTGGCCAGAGCAGCACGGCGCCTCAAGGGGGGAATGGAGGTTTTAAGGTTCCGGCATTGCCTCCGAAGAAGAAGGTCGATACAGGCGAGGGTAAGATGGCACCGCCACCGCCGCCGGTGAAGCAGTAAAGGGGGTCATTGTGTTTTTCAGGATTACGAGCATTCACAAGGCGTTATAACATGGGATTTGCATGATACCATCAAGAACTGTACGATAGGATTAAACAAAAATACCAGTGCTTAATTATGGTTTAGCTTCTTTGGTCATCAGTGAACGGTACTGTGCAAGGGTGCCGAATTCCATGCGAACCAGTGGACAGCTAGCCATGGTTCCAGACGGGATGGTGAAATTTCTCGGGCTGGGGATAGGCAAAGCCCAGCCCACACACACCCTGATGGCGCAAGCCCGGAAAATATGTCGTGCTATTGTCTTGAATGTGACAATAACGGGCAAGAACTCAATTCTGCTGGGGGTTGCGCCGAGCAGTGTTTCATAGCACTTTTCTTTATTCTCCATTTGGCACACCGGCTGACCACCGTCCCCTAGCACTTGTAGTTATTGTCCCTAGGCAACATATTATAGGGCCCTAACCAACCACCGGAGATGTTGTAGTGCAGACCAGTTGCATGTCGCACCCGGGGATCCGATGATAAGCATAAAATTAGTAGCCGATGATCATCCAGGCACCCGGGCTCTCAAAATTTGATCATCCAACGAGCAGTGCAACATTCCGGCTGACCGACTCAAGTGTCGGCATATTGCGTGCTTTGAGGGTGATCTGATCGATCTTGGATTTCATCGAGTAGAGGTTGGATCGGGTGGATCTGTATGAGCAGTTGCTCTATTATCGGGTTTCATTTCTTTCTGTTTTCTTTAAATGGCGACGTTCATCCCATCATTCTTCTTTCTTGTCTTTTTAATTCTTCTCGCTTTATATTAGTTGCACTTATTGTCACTCTTTAGCATCACCTTCCACCTTTTTTTTTCCCCTAGATACATACACCCCTATACACCACTCCATACTACTATTTTACACTACTACCATCATAGACCACCAGCCCTAGACAATACTACTAGAACAATGTCCCCCAGCATAACCTCACCACGTCCCTCCACCCCCGAAACCCAACATCAACGGCTCAAACCATCACCACCACCACCCACCAACATCCTCCTCAACCACCACACCCTCCTAACCACCAACCCCGAAGCCTTCAAATTCCAAGCCGCTGCATCCCTCCAACTTCGTCTCAACCCAACAATCCCCAATAATTCATCCCTAATACCACCACCTTTAGACACCAACCTCATCATCTCCCCTTACAACACCCCACACCACCTCCTCGACCTTCAGACCCTCAACCCGGCCTCCCAACTCCTCGCCAAAGCGCTGACCCTATTCCACCCCATTCGTCCCGACTACGCCACAGCGCCCTACACCGAGTCCTTTAACTGGGACAGTGTCTTTGGGTTTCTAAGGAAACAGGCGAAAAGCGAGGGATATACTTGGGGCAAGAGACACGAGAATATATTCTATGTGGTGGTGTTCCGGTCGACGTTGACGGCCGATGCAGATGGGGAAAAGTTGCATGTGTTGGATGAGATGTCGTTACGAGAGGCGGTGGCGGGGGGTGGGTTGTTGAAGTATTGGTTTGGGAATGTGGATGGGGAGAGGAGGGGGCTAGCTACTTGTGAGTTCTCTACCCTCTTTTTTTCTTTTCTTTAGAGTTTACTTAAGAAAAATGTTTGTGAGGAGGATGGATGTGCTAATAACGAGTGAATGATAGGTGTATGGCGCAGTCGGGAAGATGCAAGAAAAGGAGGGTCGGGACCATGGCATCGACGAGCACGTGGGGCGGCGAGGGAAATGTATGAACGAATTGAGTTCACGACGTTGAAGTTGGTGGTGGGGGAGGATGAAGAAGGGAATTGGGGATGGGAGTTTGGGGAGTGGGTGGATGAATAGCTTGATCTTATCATATCATTGATTGGGTGTTCAATTGCTAATGATTAATACTGCATGTATCTTGTGAAGAGTTATACCCTTGATTCAAAAACAGATCAGCAATGAAAATCTCGCTTGCAGCATTTGCTGACCGGAAAACATTTCTGAATCCAGAGTGGACAGCCAAAAGGGCAGCATTGCCCGCATAGTGGATTCCCCACCCGCGCATTGTGGCGTTTCCAGAAGAGTATCATTCCACGCGAAGGTGGGGTGGGGGGAAGTTCCACTGGATTATTGTTTGCCAATCTCCAATCTGCTGATTGTAACATCCCCATTCCTATTGCAGCCGATCAACTTGTCAAGTGTCAACAGTCATGGCTTTGCTGCATGGAACGTTCCTCAACGCGGGGCAGGCCCTATCCTCCAGATTTAGGATTAGGATACGTCACGACACATACCCCGGATAGATATAAAAAATATATAAATAACCCTATACCCCAGTTCCTCTCCCCTCCCATCAGTTCAACCAGATAGTTCAACCAACACCACACTACTAAGTAGTACATACTACAAAATGCCTGGCGTCCTCACCCAAACCCTCGCCGTCAGCGACGGCCCCCTCACCTCCGAAAACGCTGCCTTCCTTCGCCCCTCCGACCCTAACCTCCCCCTCGACGAGCTCCGCGCCCGCTTCAACGCCGACGGCTACCTCTTCCTCAAAGGAGTCCTCCCCCGCGAAGACGTCCTCGAAGCCCGCCGCCAATACTTCTCTTACCTCGCCCCCACCGGCGTCCTGAAGACAGACAGCGACCCCGTCCACGGCATCTTCAACCCCGACAAAACCCCCGACGACTTCCCCGGCATCGGGGCTGGTGCGGCTGGTGGTAATGGCCGGCCGGGCGGGGAGAGCGCCGCACAATTCGTCGATCGCGCCATCGAGGCTCACTACAAGGACTGGTATGCCGAGAAGCTGGTCCAGCATCCGGTGCTATATGCCTTTATTGCCAAGTTCACTGGGTGGGGGGACAATACGTTGACGTTTAAGCGGACGCTATTGCGGAATAATATCCCCCAGACGAAGCCTATTGGGGTCCATTATGATCAGATCTTTATCAGACATGGGGAGCCCACGGCTGTGACGGCTTGGGTGCCTATTGGGGATATTAAGTTGAGTGGTGGGGGGTTGATTTATTTGGAGGATAGTATGTCTTCCATCCGGATTGTATGATGTGGGGATGCTGACGAGGACAGGTGATGTCGTGGGCCAGAAGATCGAGAATGAATTCACGGCCAAAGCTCTGGCAGCGGGCATGACGGAGGAAGAGGCTAAATATGCCTTCAACTCGAATATGATGTCCACGGGCATGTTGTCGGAGAATCCCGCCGAATTTGCCAAGGAAAATGGCCGGCGTTGGTTGGTTGCGGAATACGAGGCGGGGGATGTGGTGCTGCATAAGCCTCACATGGTAAGCAGCATCTAGTTAGAAGCCTGTGGATAGTGCTGATGGGATTAGATCCACGCGTCGACGGTGAACAATGACCCGGATAGAGTGATCCGGTTGGCGACGGATTTGCGGTTTGCAGACTCGTCCCGGCCTTATGATAAGGTGGGTTTATACCTGGATTCTGTGATATATTGGATGGACACTGATAATGGTGCAGAGATGGATGAACTTTTACCGATTTAATGACGGTGTTTAATTGGTCAAATTGGGACAATGACAGTGTTGGTTAATTGAACATAAACTTATGACAGACATGACATGATCCTTCTACCTGCTTACTCCCGTCCATAGCTTTGCTTTCTTTTCTGCGTTCATCTACTTCCTAGTAGATATATCAAACGTACAATGACAGATCCTAGGTCCTTCGTTAGCTTCCATACTACCACGACTGAAAGATACCTACTGCTGATCATCACAGAACCCTCCAGTCCACCCACCACCCTGTTCAATACACTGCACCTTGAGTTAGCCTATTCTCCTCGGCATACGACCAAAACCAGCCTACCGTATTCCGACAGGCAAGATTCGCAATCTCATCCCCACCACGGATCTGGCATGAGGTGGAATTGCTCAGCATGATTTCCATGAGGGCAGCCAGGGCGGGCACACCCAACCCGAGGCAGGAGTAGAGGCTGACTAGGGCGGTTTTCATCGTGGTGTAGCTAGTTTCTAGTTGGTGGCTAAGAGCTAGTGGATGTTGGCGGTGGTGGATGTCTACCAGAGAGAGTGCCCCTTGCTACGATAGGCCTAGGTAAGTTTGGGGAGGGACCTTGGTTGACTGGCTAGCAGGGTAGCTGCATTCTGTGAGGGATCTGCAGAGGGGATTACTTGGATTGAAGCTCGTGCATAGTTGCGGATGGTCCGGTGCTACACAGCACGATCTGCTATCGATATGGCGAGGGATAGATACTCGGGATGTGACTCGTTGATCTTTCAATCTTTTGATGCCTTAATTGCTCATGCATTATCTTCATGCCCAAAGAGTTTGTTTTCGTTACTTTGATCGCATTCACTAGTTATGGCTGCTTCGACGTGGCATCCCTTGCTGACGGCCTTAGGTAAGAGGGGGCCAGATGCACTGAGAGGAATGTCCAAAATCCGATAGTCGGCACCCCCAAGATTTGGGGCCAGTGGGATCCGCCGGTCGCGATGGATACCGGAGAACAATAGTCATCCTCCAGCTGTAGTTAGTCAGTTAATAGTTAACTAGTTATGAGGCAGATGGTTAGTCTTCAGGTTAAGTTCCGAGACCGAGGGGATGGACCAACGGCAGCAATCAGGAGAGGCACCGTCAGCACGCAGTCCGGAAGCATAGAAAGTCCGACCGCATCAGCCCCGCCGGCCGAGCTTTGCTCCGTTTGAATCCTTCACTCTTTCTTCCCCTCTCTCGCTCTCTCTCTCTCCGCCCTTTTATTTCTCTTCTTCCCCCTCTACTCTTACTCCCTTTCACTCTCCATCTTTCCTCACTTACCCTCCACCCTTTTTTTTTTTTTCTGTAAGCCATATCTCTCCATTTTTCTCATTCTTCTCACTGTCAACTTGACTGATTCTAACCATTGCCTCTCTAGTATTTCACCACACAACACCATGGCTGCCCCCGCCCAGAAGTTCAAGGTCGCCGACATCGTACGTTCCCCGTTATACAATTCTCCCATGATCGCAATTCTCATTCATGCATCTAGTCCCTGGCTGCCTTTGGCCGCCGCGAGATCGAGCTCGCTGAGATTGAAATGCCCGGTCTCATGTCCATCCGCCGCAGATATGGTCCCGACCAGCCCCTCAAGGGTGCCCGTATCGCCGGTTGCCTGCACATGAGTATGTCGGCCTGACACTTTTCTACTTTGAAACCTTTCTAATCCCTTGCAGCCATCCAGACTGCCGTCCTCATCGAGACCCTCGTTGCCCTCGGTGCCGAGGTCACCTGGACCAGCTGCAACATCTTCTCCACCCAGGACCACGCCGCTGCTGCCATTGCCGCTGCCGGTGTCCCTGTGTAAGTCAAAATTGTATACCAATCTATCGGCTCGATCTAATAATTGATAGCTTCGCCTGGAAGGGTGAGACCGAGGAGGAGTACAACTGGTGCTTGGACCAGCAGCTCTCCGCCTTCAAGGATGGCAAGAAGCTCAACCTCATCCTCGACGACGGTGGTGACCTGACCTCCCTCGTTCACGAGAAGTACCCCGAGCAGCTCAAGGACTGCTACGGTCTGTCCGAGGAGACCACCACTGGTGTCCACCACCTCTACCGCATGCTCAAGGAGGGCAAGCTCCTTGTTCCCGCCATCAACGTCAACGACTCCGTCACCAAGTCCAAGTTCGACAACCTGTACGGTTGCCGTGAGTCCCTCATCGATGGTATCAAGCGCGCCACCGATGTCATGATCGCTGGTAAGGTTGCCGTTGTCGCTGGTTACGGTGATGTCGGCAAGGGTTGTGCCGATGCTCTCCGCAGCATGGGTGCCCGCGTCCTGGTCACCGAGATCGACCCCATCAACGCCCTCCAGGCTGCCGTCCAGGGCTACCAGGTCACCACCATGGAGGAGGCTGCTCCCCAGGGTCAGATCTTCGTCACCACCACTGGTTGCCGTGACATCCTCGTCGGCCGTCACTTTGAGGTGATGCGCAACGACGCCATTGTTTGCAGTACGTCCCTTCTATCATGATCTTTTGAATCAAGCTAACTGCTCAGACATCGGTCACTTCGACATTGAGATCGACGTTGCCTGGCTCAAGGCCAACGCCAAGTCGGTCCAGAACATCAAGCCCCAGGTTGACCGCTACACCATGGCCAACGGCCGCCACATCATCCTGTTGGCCGAGGGTCGTCTCGTCAACCTTGGCTGTGCCACCGGCCACTCTTCCTTCGTCATGTCCTGCTCTTTCTCCAACCAGGTCCTTGCCCAGATTGCTCTGTTCAAGGCCGAGGACGCCGAGTTCGGCAAGAAGTACGTCGAGTTCGGTACCACCGGCAAGAAGCCCGTCGGTGTCTACGTTCTCCCCAAGGCTCTCGATGAGCAGGTCGCTCTCCAGCACTTGGAGCACGTCAACGCCAAGCTGTCTCAGCTCACCCCCGTCCAGGCTGAGTACCTTGGCCTGGAGGTCACCGGACCTTTCAAGGCTGACCAGTAAGCCCTCCTATACCCAAAACTTTAATATATTGGCAGCTACTGACTAAGTGAAATAGCTACCGCTACTAGATGTCGAAATCCTACTGCTAGACTTCAACATTCACGATGTTACGACGACATATACAGGGTTCTTTATCAACATGGGGCTCAAAAGCATTGTCTTCAACGGCAAATAAAAGTGGCTGGGTATGGCTAGGGTTGCATTGGTGGTTGTGGAGTAATTGTTCAACAGAAGATACCAGATAATTGAATACATCAGATTCCTACTACAGTAGTTTACCAAAATACCTCCCCCTCCCCAAAACTAGATATACTTACAACTGAATCTCCTTAAACTTCCTCGCGTTCTGCTCCAACGCCACCTCAACAGGCAACCTCTCCATACTACTCGCCCCAAAGAACCCATGCACCCCCTTACACCTCTTCAACACATACTCCGCATCCTCCGGCCCCGCCAACGGGCCCCCATGACACAACACAATCACCTCCGGATTCACCTTCACCACCGCATCCCGCACCTCCTGCACCACCTTAACACATTCATCCAACGTCAACGCCGTCTGCGCCCCAATCGTCCCACTCGTCGTCAATCCCACATGCACCACAATCACATCCGCGCCCGCCCGCGCCATCATCTCTCCTTCCTTCACATTGAACACGTACGGCGTCGTCACCAGATCCATTTCCCTAGCGATGCGAATCATCTCCACTTCCTTCTCATATCCCATCCCCGTCTCTTCGAGGTTCGCGCGGAAGTTCCCGTCGATCAGACCGACTGTCGGGAAGTTTTGCACCCCCACGAACCCGATGTCCCGTAGTTGGCGCAGGAAGGTCCGCATGTCTCGGAAGGGGTCGGTGCCGCAGACGCCCGCGAGGACGGGGGTGTTTTGGATGAGGGGGAGGACTTCGCTGGACTGTCCTCTTGGTTAGTATCGGTGGTGGGAGGGAAGGGGGAGGGGGAGGGGGGGGGAGGGAGGGTATGTACCATTTCGACCACCACGGCGTTGGCGTCTGAGTAGGGCATCATGCCTGCGAGAGAGCCTCGGCCTGCCATGCGGAATCGCCCCGAGTTGTAGACTAGGATTAGGTCGGCCCCGCCTTTTTCGATGAATTTGGCGGAGAGGCCGATTCCTGTGTTTTATGTCATTGTTGTGGTTAGTGGTGTTGATGTCGGTGATTGGGAAGATGGGTGAGGAGGTTATGGCATTGAAGGGATGCATGGGTACTTACCGGCTCCCGCACCGATGATGATGGAACCATCGGCGATGGTCTTGCGAAGACGGTCGAGGACTTCTTGTCGGGTGGTTGGGCGGGGCATGGCGATGTTGTTGTGTATGTGTGTATGTATTTATGTTGGAGTATGTTGGGTGATTGTAGTAGGTATTAAGAGAGTAGTATGTTATATACTAAATCGAGGGCTAGTGGAGGACAGTTGAGGATGGGCCTTAAATAACCTCCGACCTACAAAAGTCGGAATTATGACGAATGAAAGAATGTCGGAAACAAACATCCCCGTGATAGTGTGACTGTATCTCCGAAGGAGGGGTAGGAGGGGGTATGCCAAATCATCAGTGGATCAGGCGGTTACCACATAATTGATAGTCAAGTATCCATTTTGGTGGCGGATGGGTGGTACTTTCAGTCCTGGTAACCACTTCAGCTGAGGATCGTCCGGGATTTGACCCACGGCTAACCCTAACTAGTCTGCACCGGCGTGCTTTTATCTGCAACTGAGACTCCTCTCTTCTGCGTGATTAATTTAATTTATCTCGCCTCGAGGTTTTTTAAAGTTCCTGCGACAAGTCCCAGTCGGTATTACGCACGATAGTAGTCTCCGACATGACGGTGCAGCGCAAAGCCGATCAGTTCCTCAGCTGTCTGCCACCAGCCACAGTGTAACGTGCCCCTCTTCAACGTTATAAACCCCATTCCCATTGAATAGTAGTAACATCACCTTTTCTACAACTCCTCCCATATCTACAACAAGTCATAGTCATAGTATACTGCAACATGCCAACCATCCTCCTCCTCGGCACCTGCGACACAAAATGGTCCGAACTACTCTACCTCCACTCCCAACTAACCTCTAACCCCTCCATCTCCGTCCTTCTCATGGACGTCGGCCGCGCCGCCACCTCCTCTCCGCTCATCAACATTCCTCATCCCAGCCTCGACAACAAAACAATCGACTACACCCAGCTCCCCCGAAACGACTACATCCAATCCATCACCCATGTCTCCACCCCCACCGTCGCCGACCTCTACCACAATGGCAAATTCCACACCATCCTCTCCATCGGCGGCAGCTGCGGCACCACCATCGCAACCACCATCATGCGCGATGCCCTTCCCATCGGATTCCCGAAACTGATGGTCTCCACCATGGCCTCCGGCGACGTGGGTCCCTACATCCAGGAAACAGACATCACCATGATGTACAGTGTCGTCGACGTAGCCGGCACAAACAGCATTCTGAACAGAATCCTCCGCAACGCGGCAGCCGCAGGAACCGGAATGGCGATATCATACCACGACCAGCTTCATACCTCCGAGTCTAATAGCACGAACGGACACGCCCAGAATGGACTCCACAAGCAGAATGAGACCAAGCAGGAAACACCCAAGAAAACCAAAATCGGCATCACCATGTTCGGCGTCACCACACCCGCCGTAACCCAAATCCGCACCTACCTGGAATCCCACCTCCCGGATGCATGCGAAATTTACGTCTTCCACGCCACCGGCTCCGGCGGAAAAGCCATGGAGAGACTAATCCGCGAACAACAACTCGACGCCGTCGTGGATTTGACCACCTCCGAGATTGTGGATGAGCTCGCCGGCGGGGTATTGTCCGCCGGACCGGGACGGTTAGACGCCGCGGCGGAGAGGGGCATCCCGCAGGTAGTGAGTGTGGGGGCGTGCGATATGATTAATTTTGGAACGAAGGATACAATTCCCGAGCGGTTCAGTGGGAGGAGGATCTATGAGCATAATCCGACGGTGACGATTGTGAGGACGGATGAAGAGGAGAATCGACGGATCGGGGAGTTCATTGTGGGGAAGTTGGGGAAGGCGAAGTGCCCGGGGAATGTGGTGGTTATGTTGCCGACGGGGGGAATCAGTATGATGGATGTTCCGGGAAATGATTTCTATGATGGGATGGCGGATGAGGTGTTGTTTGGGACGGTGGAGAAGGGGTTGGAGGGGTCCGGGGTAAGGGTTGTGAGGTGTCAGGGGGATGTGAATCGTAGGGAGTTTGCGGAGAGTGTAGGGGAGACTTTGTTGGGGTTGTTGAAGAGTGTAGTTAGTAAATTGTAGTATAGTTGAACTGAATTTAGGGTATATGTTAACTTTCAATCACTATGTAGATCAAACCTACTTAATAGCGAATCTTTAACCTTGGTGCCGCCGGAGCACCAATGAGGTAATTTCCCGGTGGCCATTTGCCCGAGTTACAGTTTCTTTGAAACTTAAGTATAAATTGAATTCCCCAACTTTCCTTCTTGTACATTCTACTTCTGTTTTAGAGATACTACACAACAGTACATCTACATCAATCAACATGTCCCGTTCCCTCGAAGGCAAATTCGCCATCGTCACCGGTGGCTCCCGCGGTACCCTATCCCCATCCCCATCCCCCATCCCCTCTCCACCACCCCACTAACGTCCCCCAGGAATCGGCGAAGCCATCGCCCACAACCTCGCCAGCAAAGGCTGCTCCCTCCTCCTAAACTACACCTCAGACAGCTCCCGCGCACGCACCGAATCCCTCTGCAGCGCCCTCTCCACCACGCACAACATAACCTGCATCCCCGTGCAAGCCGACCTCTCGGACCCCACCCCCGCCATCAGCACCATCCTCTCCGCCGCCAAAACCCACTTCACCTCCCCAGCCACAGGCACCCTAACAATCGACATCCTAATCAACAACGCCGGCGTCAGCAAAGACCGCTTCCTCAACGACCCCTCCTCAGGCCCCATCGACCCGGGCTACTTCAACTGGCATTACACTATCAACGTATTGGCCCCGCTGCTCCTCACGCAAGCCTGCGCCGAGTACCTCCCCCGCAAGCCCGCGCACAGCGGCCGCATTATCAACATTTTGAGTATTTCCTCCTCGTTGGGGTTCACGGGCCAATCGGTGTATGGGGGTACCAAGGCGGCGTTGGAGGCGATGACGAGGACGTGGGCGAGGGAGTTGGCGGACGTGGCGACGGTGAATGCAGTGAATCCGGGTCCTGTAGTCGGGGATATGTATTTTGCTACGGGTGAGGAGTTTTGGAAGCAGATGCAGGGGTTTCAGGATAATGCGCCGTTGAGTAAGTTGCAGGATGGGGAGGAGGGGTTGAGTGAGGAGCAGGAGAGGTTGATTAGGGAGAAGATGGGGGGTAGGAGGCCTGCGTTTACGAGGGAGATTGCAGGGGTTGTGGGGATGCTTTGTACGGAGGATGGGGCGTGGTGTACGGGAAGTGTGGTTTGTGCTAATGGCGGGTTGAAGTTTACTACTTAGTTGTTGTGGGCTTTGGGATTTTTGGGTTGGGGGGTCACTATATAGGGCTAGGAAATGATTAGAATAGAGTGGTGGGGTGAGAACCACTTTGACAATAAATTGAATTACTTATCTTACTATTTATACACGTCCTGAATTGGCTTAGAATTCTAGTGTTTTGCCAAGTAGTCGAGTGGTTACTTAATACTATGCATCTGGAGGATATATCTCCTGAAGTGCGCTATGAGTTGGTTCGTTGGTTCTGATAGGTAGTTCTCTGCATTGGGTATACTAGAATCTGTGGGTTTTGCTTACAGTGTTCGAACTGTGCCATAAGAGCAGTTGCTTATGTTTTAGTTGCCCATAAATAATGATAATAACAACCAGTCGCTGGTATAGAACTACTATAGGATTATATCGGTGTCTACCTCTTGGTATGCGAGTTAGGGTTATGCACGTTCCCGTCAGCCTCGTGCCGTGACTACCGTAACCCTAACTTCTCGACTGACACGTTCGCTCCGACCTGGAGCGTTTCAACATCTTCTAAATGGAAGATGTAGCACTAAAGAAGATGCAGAAAAAGGAGAAGGTCTTGGTGACTTAGATCGATCATTTCATTTTATGTTAAACTCAGTAGTGTTTAAAGATGCAAAAGAGTGGCAGAAACGAAGGGGATGCCTGTGTGTTCTTGCCCTGTTTGGTAGGCACCCTGCATCGACAACCTAGCTATGTCAGCCAGTATGCTATATGAGCATGCTCTAATGGATGCGAGTACCGGATAGAACGGCAATAGCAAAGTGGGTAGCCCGATTTTGGTCATATTTAGGTTAGATTTAAAGTGAAACGCTAGTACCGTCGGTAGATTCATAGTATCGGTAGCTGTTTGCTTGCTGATATCCCATGCATTACAGTCATATGGACGGAAGGAAGTGCAATCGAATACTGATTATATCAACGACAATTAAATCAATCATTTTCCACTCACCTATATTACGGCGGCTAATAGCGGCCATCGGGCAAATGCAATTTTTTGGTGTTTACTGCCGGCAGAATTAGTATATAGCTGATTGGATCATGTAGCTTATATAACATACTTATCTATATCTAGTTATATAAAGCTGTATATACACTATTAGATGACTTGCTTGGCTTCGCTATACAGATGGCTACTAGTCTTGAGTACTATAAAAAGATATAAGTCTTATCCAGGGTATTATACACAGGTATTCTATATAACTGGAATATAGGTACTGGTGCTGGTACTAGTACAGGTATATATTAATAATTAAGAAAATAATTATATTTATCTAGACTTACTCTGTCCACGGGTCCTAATTATCTGATTTTAATTAGCAAAATAAGATATCAATATATAACTGCTCTCTGTATAGATCTTAGAATAATAAGATATTTACTATATATATAGACAAATAAAAGCTCTCGTCTGTAGCCTTTAATAATCTCTACATCAAAGAGGCACCTCTCAAAGAACAACTCCTTGATCCGGCTGTGTAGAGAAGAATTAGTAATACGGGTTAGATATAAGGAAATCTTATACCTAACCGTTAACCTGACGGCAGGTATAAATTTTTCCATTAACCTACCCTACCCTGGCCGTTAACCGCTCTAATCACGCTTATTAATATTCTAACTATTTAATCTGGTCTTGATTATACGCTTACCGACTTGTATATAGTATTATATTTTAATAATAAAGATAATACAAGTAGTAGAACAGTCCTGATAAAACAAACTGATAATGTTAGTCTTATACAGCTTAAGATTAATAAAAGAAAGTATATTTAATAATAATTAAAGAAAAGATCTGTACAGCATCATGCAGAGTATCATGAGATTCTAATTCGGATGCGGTATGCAGAGCAGTAAAGGGACTTCAACGCATTTGCCTGATGGCCGCTATTAACCGCCGTACCTATATCTATACCCTCACTATATATGCATAAATCAAGCAAGCTTCCGGGCTGGTCTGGGCTCGGCGGAATCCCGCCCAAGTGGGCCACGCACGCAGATGACTAAGCCTCTAGGCAGCGATAAAGTTCTCCTGGACCCTGAAGGGTCTTAATCATGCATTTCCCGCCGGGAATCTCATTCCCGCTTAATTAGCATCTTCCAGTGTCAATTGATTCATGCAGTCTGTCAGCATGGATGCAGATATCCTCGATATTGTGGCCCAACGTGGCGGGAGGGCCAGGAGTGCATGTGACCTGTGCCGGCATAAAAAGGTGCTACCCTATACCCTTTACTTAGTAGGGGCTCATCACTGATGCGGGTTAGATTCGATGCGATGGAGAGAAACCAGCATGTGAGAATTGTCATTTTGCTGGTGTGACCTGCACGTTTACCGTGACTGGTCAACCCAGGAAGACTATTAGAGAGTATGTTCCTTGGCAAATATAGTAACATTACTGCTATTCCCAGTGGCATATTAAGAGTAACATTACTAATTCTCACAGACAACTCGCTGAAGCCAAGGCTCGTGTACAAGAATTGGAAAGCTTCATTGCCGGCCGTCCTCTCCCAGGAGCAGTTTCACCAATCATCCAATTGCAGGATGAACTGCGATCTGCCTCACCATATCCGCCCATGTCGCTCTTTGCCGCGCCATCGCATCCTCAGGATTCGTCGGATTTTGACATAGCCATGGAAATCTTCAAACAGCACCTGGAAATTTCCTGGCCAGGCACTACTAACTCCCCTCAGCGTAACTCATTCCATGCTACTGTCTACCGCCAAACCGGCGCTGTCTTGGACTTGCACGGCTTCTTAGCCCGTGTGACAGAGTCCTACAAGGCCCAGTATGCTTCCATCTCGCCAGCAATCTCTACTCCCCAATGGCCCAGCTACGCCCTGATCCAGAAGTGTCTCGACTACTACTCCGCCAAGAGCATGTACTCCATGTTTCCTGTTGTGGATGTACCTGCTTCCCAGGCTGTCCTTGACGCTCTCGTCTCTGGCCGTACAGATCCCCCGCCTACCACGGCGGAAAAGGCACATCTCTTCGCCTTCGCAGCCTTTATCACCAAGCAGCATCAACACCAGCCGCAGTTTGCAGGTACAGACCCGGACGCTTACGTGCAGGCCGTACTGACATTAGTACCTAAGCTCATGCTTGAGCTAGCTAGTGTGTGGAAATTAAAAACATTCGTCATATTGGTATCTTTTATCTTCTTTGCTACCATATCTCCCATATTCTAACTCAGATAGGCCCTGCACATCGCCCCAGCAGGCTATCCCCAACAAGCCCAACTCCTCCTCTCAACCGCCATCCGCATTTTGTATCAATTAGGCGGCCACCGCATCACCCCTCCCCCAGAATACCAACCACAAGCTTCCTCTACCACCACCAACAACACTGAATCCCACTCCCACCTCCGCGCCATCTTCTGGCTCTGCTACGGCATGGACAAAGAAATGTGCATCCGCAGCTGCTCCCCACCCCTCATCCACGACATCGACGTCGACCTCGACTTCCCCAAAACCTACATCGGCTCTACCACCCACTCTCCCCCACCACCCCGACAATCCCCATCATCATCAACATCATCATATACTAGTAACGAAGTCCCCCTCCTCTACCCAACAGACATCCGCCTCGCCATCTTCAAATCCCACATCTACAACCGCCTCTACTCCAGCCACGCCCAATCCCTCCCCGAAGCCCGCCGTCTCGCTCACATCCGCCAACTCGATCAGGACCTGAGTGAACTATACGCCGAATTCCCCTTAGGACATACACCTGTACACACACCTAGATCCGAAACAAGCACACCCGACAATCGAGATCCAACAATAACCCCCTCCTCCTCCTTGTCCTCCAACGAGGAAAGTAGTAATCATAAACTGGTCAATATCCGCCCTATCAGCATCCACCTCGAATACCACTACTGTATTCGCAAACTTCACGAAGCGAGTATCACAACTAGCTTATCTGTCGTCTCGGCCCCGCTTGCTTCGAGTCTGGAGTTGTATTATCAGGCGTCGAGGTCGACATTACTATATTACCTGAATTCAGGGAAGGGCGGGTTGGTGGATCGGTTTAGTTTTTGGTGAGTTTACCATTCCCTCTTTTTTCTTTGTTATTGCTATTCCTAGCTATGCATAGTATACTGATACGACGGGTGTGATGGTAGGATCCACGCACAATTCATCCTTTCCGCCATTCTCACGGTCTTCTGGTGTTTGATCGAGAACCCCGATCCGAGGAATCCGTCCTTCACGAGGAATTTGAGGATGTTGGAGGATATGAGGGGGTTGTTTGCTTGTGAAGTGTTTGATTTGGACGGGGAGGGGAGATTCTTTCCCCCGGCGTATATTGTTGATGGGTTTTTGAGCTGGTTGGTTTCGTTGGTTAGGGTTGCGGTGGAGAGGGAGGGGGTTCGGCGTGGTCGGGCTTCGTGATGTGTCTTATCATTATAATTATTATCATAGCTCTATTTTATCTTTTCCTTTTGGCTTTAGGGTTATGTTGGGTGTTGGTTGGGTCTTTTGGTTTGGTTCTGGTTCGGCGCGTATAAGATTGTAATTTATGTACAGTGTCTTCTATGACTGGTTAGACTGTCTATAGATACTGTTTTGCTTTGTAAGGCTTGTGTAGTCCATTTGTATTATGTTATCAAAGAAGGACTATTTACTCAGAGAGGCTTTTATGAAAGGCAATATAAGTTGGAGAGGCAATGGTCAAGTAGATATCAGTGGTAGTCTCAGCGATATAGATTAAACTGGTGTTCAATAACTGTCTAGAACGAGTGACGAAGAACCTAAAAGATCTCCACATCGTCATTGTCAATCAATGTTACCCTGCAAACATATCTCTCGATGATCTTATCCCTGAGTCTTTAAGAAGACATAATATTACCTAATCCCATTGCAAGCATAGGCTCAGTCATGGCCAGGTACTTTGTTATTATAAATATACCAGCCATTGGCTGGATTGTACAAGTCATACGGCGTAACCTCCGTCAGCACCTGATAGTTTGTCGCTTGACACCATGGCACTTCCGGGTCCATATTGAGGCAGGGTGCCAGGAACTCGGCCACGTGTTTGCCCTCGTAATAGGCCCCGTGCAGGTAGCCAAAGAATTCCTGACTGGTGGCCTCACCGGCAAAGAAGACACTGTCAACATTGGCGCAGAGATTCTGATGCTCTTGCAGGCTGATCGATGGTGGCCAGTAGGAGTAGGATCCGTAGGACCTGCAAAAGTTAGTGCTCTTGCTGTTGTCACAGGGTGGGAATGGCTTCTCACCAATCTTCCGTACTCCACCTCGGATAGTATATTTCTTCCAATTCTGAAACCTTATCACCATACATGTGCTTAAGCACATCAAGGAGCTCCTGCTTTGTCTCTTCGTTTGTCTGCGACTCGACGCGGTAAGAACGCTCGCCGGTCACCGTGGCCACAAGAATTTTGGAATCCTCATCCAACCCGTGAATATCCAAAGGCTGGAATACTGGGTAATTGCCGCGAACATGAGGATCCGCCCACAGAAGGAACTGCTTTTTTTCCCCAGAAACTGCTCTTGAATTTGAGGAAGATCTTGGTATATGTGCCTATTTCAAAGCCGGCGATGCTTTGAGCTTTCCAAGGCGGCAGAGGCGGGTCATATTCCACGTGTCCCCTCTGTAGTACTCCTAGGGAGAAGGTGTCAATAGCATATTTGGCATTAACGCACCCCTTATCACTGGTCACCGTGACCCCGTTTGGACTGTGCTTGATCTTGATGACTTTGTTGTTGAAGCGAACACGGTCTGCCGGTCCATTGAGGACGGCACTCACATTTTCCCGAAAAGCAGAAACAAATCCGCGCTTATCACTAATGAACAAGTCACCCTTCGAAAAGTATTCGTAGGTGGCGATCGTGGAGATAGCACCAAACACCTCCGAATTCTCCTCTGGCGGAGAAGCAGCCTCCCAATCCCAGGCCCACCAATCCGCCAGTTGTCCGGCCGGGTCATTCTTCGCCGGATCCCAGTGCTTGAGGCGCTGACCGGCTCGGAATGTCCGATCCTGGCGATTATTTTTTAGAATATCGACGGCGCCATCTAACACCTCTTCTTTAGCGGCCCCGGCGCTCTCTGGGGCGGCTGAGATAGCTGTTGCGCTTTGTTTAGGAAACACGACCCTATCCTTCTCGTTGGTCTCCCTGGCGGGGTTTATCAACGGTATGTCCTCGCCTTGGGTTGGGTTAAGGGGGCTCTCACACTTTCTTCAATCCCGCCCGTTCAACCTACGTCAAGTTAGCCAGTCCGTCAAGGCCAGAGATAATTACATACCATAGTCCACATGGGATTGATATTTCCGGTTTCCGGCCCTCCCGGTCCGTGAACCTATTTGGTCAGCATTGAAACGGCTATTGAACAACTGGATGAATGATACATACCCAGTTGGCGCCGACCTCAATCTTATGCCCGGCAAAATTGCGACTGTAAAGCCGGCCACCAGATTCATTCCTGGCTTCGAGCACAATAAACTTCTCGACACCTTTTGTCTAAGAGGGCTTGCTACTTTTGTCAGCTTGATCTAGCCAGCGCGGTGCATGGAGATCTTACTGCGGCGGTAAGACCGGCAACACCTGCTCCCCTACACATGTGCATGTGAGTTTATAGCTTGGATGCCGTATCTAGTATGAGAAGCTTACAAGATAACAACATCAGTGTTAGAGCAAGTGGGCTCAGCAAGAGGCGCAGCATGTGCCGCTAATACTGGCAGCGCCGCTGCAGCAGCAGGAAGGAATCTCATGGTGTCGGCTGGCTAGATGCCACTGTTGAATCTGCCTGTCTAGAAACATAATATGGTAGTATGTAGCTCCTTATATGTCTGCTTGAACATTCCGTTTTGATCCGGGAAAGGGATCCGTATGTATAGAAGAAGAATGTGCAAGGAATGCGGGGCGCACCTGACGTTGAGCGACTTCCCTCCGGGTTCGAGTGCCCTGTCGCATGCCAGAAACCAGCTCATAGCGATAATGGGTGTCAAGTGACTGCTACTCATAGATGGCCTTGCTAGGGATGATGGAGTTATTGTCAGCTGTGACATGTTGACAGCCTCCCGGTCAAGCAGAGGATCGAAAAACAAGGAATAACCCCGTGGAACTTTTATGACCCATGCCGTACGATGTCCTCGCCAATGTAGGACAAAACTGTCAAGCTCAGTCGATTGGCAAAGCTTTTCAAGGGGGTGCAAATGCTGGGGTAGATCACTACACATCCGTGGAGGCATACAGGGTGGAGGATGCAGAGCTGGGGGTGGACATGCCGGGGTGTTGGACAGGTATGCATAACCCCCAATGCTATGGAACTACCATTTACAGTAGTAATCGACATGACACTCTTCAGCACCTCAACTTTCTCAGAAGAATGGGTGGAGGGTGAAGTGTCTGGTAGCTCAGAAGGCTGCTGGCCGCTCATATTACATTAGGCAGGTGCCAATCAGCAAGCATTGTCAATGTTATAGGAACAGAAATCACTTGAATTGGCAATTTATCCCCAATGTTTCTCATTGAGTGCAAAGTATATAAATCTTTCAACTATGCAATTATAGACGTAGTCCAGCTCGGGATTATACGGTCATAGTCGACTTCCTGGCCTTTTCCTTGATATCTCCATCTACTAACATAAGCTGGTGTACTTCCAGCGCCTCCATTCTTCGTAGCATAGGTACCAACAAGCGCGCCTACAACGGCCAACACTGCAAGAAAGAAAAATCGATAATGTAAAGGGCTAACTTACCAGTAAACCGACCAGTGCCACCACTGACAATTCTCGTATCAGCCCACCCAATGACTTTCTTATGGCCCAGGTTCCTTGATGGCGCAGCGGTAAAGGCATACGTCGTGTCGTTGACAGCCTGAATCTCAAGCCTTATAGTGTCTGCTTGCCATTCCTTCGGTACAGAAATAGTCCGGCCAGGAAGAGGGCCATCATAGTTACCCCGGCCTTCAACACGGAACCTGAATGACAGATCATTCTGTAGCAGGACAATACCCATATCAATGTGCTGTTCCTGAGTCAAAAACACCGTAACCCCAGCTTCCTCACCATTCATCTCAGGATCAAACGATATATCAACACCAAACGAGAACAACGTATCCGTCTGCCGACGCATAACCAGCGTCAACCCATCATCGGGCTTGAACTCCGGCGTCCCTGTCAGATTATAAAAGGACGGAGTCAGCCTCAAAGTATTAGGATACCCCTCTGGTGAAACCACAAAATTCTCCGTCCTCGGATACCTCCAATACACAAAATGCGCTGGAATCGCCGATCCCGGAGCGAAATCCACTCTATCAGGCTGATCAATCCAATCCCCCTCACCAAATGCAATCCCCCTATCCTCCGACATCAAAGGCCCACTCATCACCCCCCGAACAGGCTGCACAACCGGCCACTCGCCCTTCTCCCACCTCGCCGGCGCAAGAACCGTCTCTCTCCCCATGGGATAATTCTTCCATGCCGGCCCAGACCGTGTACTCAGCGCCACAGCCCACCAATCTCCCACACTATCCTGAAACAGATCCGCATGTCCGACCGTCTGGAAATACTGCGTCGTATTCTGATTAGTCAACAGCGGATTCCGGGGATAAGCTTCCCACGGCCCGGTCCGGAACCTTGATCGAGCAATCGTCTCCGAGTGTCCGAGTTCGGTCCCTCCCTCGGCGATCATAAGGTAGTAGTATCCGTCTTCGCGGAACATGTGCGGTCCCTCGGGGCTGGATCCTCCAGTGCCGTTCCAAAGGTTGTGGATGGGGCCGGTGGCCCCGGTAGTTAGATCGAGGGAGTACTGCTGGATGTGGTTTCCGCTGGAGGAGCCACTGTTCGCAGATGTCACGTAGACGGTACCGTCATCGTCCCAGAAGATGTCCGGGTCGATGCCTGTGACGGTGAATACGAGGGGGTCGGTCCAGGCGGAGTTGTTGTAGGGGTTGGTGGTGGTGAAGAGGAGGGCTTGGATGTCTGTGCCGAGGTAGGTGACGATCAGGTAGAAGGTACCATTGTGGTAGCGCAGGGTTGGGGCGTAGATGCCACCTTGTTGGTCTGTGGTGTTTCGAAGATCGGGGATTTGAGAGGGCCGGTTGAAAGCGTTGCTGGCGAGTTTCCAGTTCTGCAGGTCTTTACTAGCGTAGATGGGGAGGCCGGGGTAGGCGATGAAGGTGGAGGTGGCGCAGAAGGTGGTGTTGTGTTCCGGGACGTGCGCACATGTTGGGTCGGAGTGCCAGCCGGGGAGAATGGGGTTGGTGTAGGTGTGGTTTGAGGTAGGAGAGGAGGATGCAGTGATCGATAGTAGAGTGGCTGCGAGGAGGGTGGAGAGCCACATGGTGGGATGTGGTTAATACGTTATAAGGAAAAGATGCTGGCATGCTTGAGGGTTTTATAGGTCACTGCTCCGATGATGCTTGGACGCGTGCCGTGGCGGTTTTAGGCTAAAGGGAAGCTCTGGATTAAATGCGACCCTAACATGGTGAGGATGAGTTGAGTTTATCTCTTGGCCTTTCAATAATGGCTGATTAGCAGATCGACATCCTTGGCTAAGTGCATCTCGGGAATAGAAGGGACTATAAACAGTCCTCCTAGTCATGATGCTATGACAATGAATGGATCTATCAAGAGAATGGTCAGGTCTAGGCGCTGATGTTCTCGCTGCATTGCTATACAACACCTGAACACTGAGGGGTATTCAGCAAAGGCTCCATATATAGTGTCAACGCGCTAATGAGTGGACCAATAACGGTTTAGTATCGCGTCTATCTGAAAGCAGACAGAGAGATATGTTCCAGCATGCAGCAGTGGTATCAGATTTGGCAATTGTTCGCAGGTGAGAACCTGATCTTTGCCCTGTCAAATGGTTTCTCGCCACAGGCTTGTCCCAATCTCTAACAGTCGAAGAGATGTCTTGTTTCCGGACCAACCTGTCAATCAATCCATTCTTCATCGGCGAGTTGAAGGAAATGCAAGAGATTTCTGACCAGAGCAGAGGTATTAGTAGCCTCTTCGTACACATATATGTCACATGCTCTGTTGCGACCTTAAGCGCAACTGGGTCTGCCTGCAAGTTCTCATCATCCTTGGGCAATCTTGAGATCGCATTGGGCTTCCATCGAATCCTGATGCTTTTTATTTCTCCGTAGTAGGCATCCGCGGGAAGACTGTTATCGAAAATTATGTTGAGAACAACAGTGTGACAAGAGTGTCTGACTTTGACACTGCCATCAAAGAGCCTAAAGGGGAGCTTGTGAAATCTCCTTTAGACAGGCTAGGAACTGAATATAAAGCCTTGATTCACATCGTGGAATGCCGTAGCGAAAGGTGCAGGGGAATACAAGGTTCAATCTGTATAAAGTCTCATGTATATAGTATATATGATCGTACCCTAGTATAATATCGCCAAGTACGCTATTAATATTCTGCCGCTTCCACCATATTGTAAAAGGGTTGGTTGAGAGGTAGCTGACTTTATATAAGACTTGATTCAGTTGATGACAAGACTTCCTTTCAATCAGGTAATTCAGTGAATCCACCCCTGAATCCTTCTGTGAAAGGACACATAAATTGATATACAGAGACAGATCACACGATGCTTTTAGCAGTATAGCTGAATCATGAGGCTGTGATAGTTGTAGCAGTCAATGTAGGCGACTAAAGGGGACTGCTCCTTTTACCCCAAATCCTTTATCTATTGGTCTTTATGGACAGAAGGGCAGATTGCTATTGGTTCATTTTCTGTAGGTAATAGCAGGATTTCAGACGGAATTTCCCTAGCAAAGTAATTTTCCTACGTGACAGGCTGCTTGGCTGAAGCCTACGGGGCTTAAGCAGGTTGTTTTGATCGAGGTAGAGGATGTTAGTGGGGTGAAAGTTTTTAATAGAACTTTTGTTCATTAAATTCTAGATATAGTTGAAGCAGATGGCTCCTCTTCACTTGCTCGTCCAAGAACGCAGGCGCTATTCACTTAACCATGTTCTATCAAGATACATTATCGCCACTAGCTAGTCATTTCACAATGAATCAGCTTAGGCTAATACTTTATCACTAAACAGTTGCTTGTCTAGATATGTCTCGTGTGCAAGTGAAATGTTATTCCTGAGGAACGCCTGACCGCAAGTCAGCTCTTGCAGGATCCTTCATTTAGGGCTATCATGAATATATATGGCTATTGATGCTTACCTTGGCACTTGTTCTCTGCTAAGACTATCTCCTTGCTAGCGATCGAGTATTTGTCTCTTTATCACAATCACCGGTATATACTAGCCACTGAATCACCGGCTACCAGGATTTCCGGTAGAAGAAAACCGCTTTAATGATTACAGAAGTAAGTATCATTATCATAATTCAGGAATTATAGAGTAGAAGACAACAACAACCTAACCAAGACATGTATCACGCAACTCTTCTACTAGTTAACTAGTTAAAGTAAGGGCATACCCCGGTTAGTCAGCACGGTCCATCCCCAACCGACGTCATCCCATGATTGCAACCATCACTTCATCCATCCATTAACCACCCTCATTACCATTTCCCATCTTCAATTCATATCCGAAATGTCTCTCCGGACCCCTCTCCGCGGACTACACCTCTCCCGCTCTTTATACAAGCCCTCAATCGCTCGTCCACTCCCACTCCGCACCCTGACCACCTCCGCCCGGCCCCGACTCACCTCCGCACCCAGACTCACCACCACACCAACACCAACACCAACAATCTCACGAACCTACACTTTCAACTTCACCCCCACACTCAAAAACAAATCCTCATATTCAACAACATCGTCCAAACCCCCCGCCGACCAAATCATCGACGAACTCCAAGAACTGTCCGTATACCCTTTTCCCCCCTCCTTCCCACCTAAACAAACAAACATACTAACATACTGGCTGACTCGGGATAAAGATACGAAGTCGCAAAAGACGAATTCGAAATCGCCACAGAAAGTACCGACTCGGCGACCATCTACGCAGCGTCGGACCGGGAGTCGGCGCGCGATGCTCTGAATGAACTCATTGCCGTGTATACGGTGTACACGAGGGATATGTCGTTTGTGAGCCATTCGCCGCAGGGACAGGTGGATGTGGATACGGGGTTGGATCCGGGAAGTATTGGGGATGAAGTCCGTGAGGAGGTGAGGAGGAGGGTGGGGACGAGGGTTAGGGAGATTGTGGGGGCTGTGGAGAGTTTGGAGGAGAGGGCTTCTGCTGAGTGATTTGTAATAATGTGTTTATGGTTGTGTTTGGGGGTGGGATGTGTGTATGATAGTGGTGGTGATATTTAGGGTTGGAATGAGGGATTGAATGGAGGTTGTGGTGGTGGTGTGTCATTAGATGTGTGTGGTTATATGATACTACTTAGTAGGCAGGGGCTGTTCAACTCGTGTAGGATAATATATACTAAGCAGTAGGTAGTAGTAGTTGGTATAGGTGTCGTCCACTCATAATGTTCTTTTAACCAGTCGTCAATCACTCGCTCATTCAGTTGTCCTGTTTCGCCGCCGTACTCCGTTTTATATCCAATCCCATCAATCCGGTATTAGAAATCACGTATGTATGTATATTCCCTCCCCGTTGATCTGCGCCTGGTGCCCGTCTGTGCTGCTCTCACGCCACTTCGGCGAAGGCAAGTCCGAAGTCATCCGGCATCGGTGTACCCAGTGAGATATCTTCTTTGTGCGTAGTTCTTAAGTGTCGTTTGAGTTGGTCTGCTTAGTTAGTATATATCTCTTGACTACATGGGGGTTTGGGCTTACCGTGTCGCGTGAAGCTCTTGGTGCATCCTGCGTGGTGGCACTTGTGTCGACGCTCGCCGTGTGCTAGTCCAGTTAGTATCGACTGCATAAATCTGTCTACGGTGTACATACTCAATCGGTGGCTGGACATATTGGATGACTGAACCTGTTAGCTTGATGTCTTCTCTTTCTGATTGGCTGTACTTACATCACCAGTTTGGAAGTTACACCCCGGATACGTGCATTTAAATGGCTTCTCGCCCGTGTGCGTCCGCGAATGCGTTTCTATCCTGTCAGTGTCTATTCATCTCAGAGATAGCATGCACATACTCAGCTCGCTGCTGTCGGTAAACGACTTTCCACACTCGGTACACTTGTACGGCTTCTCGCCTCGGTGGCTCCGCTCGTGCCGCTCCAATGTTGCCTGTCGGGCAAACATCTTTCCACAGACAGAGCATTTGAAGTTTTTATCTACATCGTCAGCTCCGGCTCGAAAAACACTTGGCATGCACTTACAATTACTGTGAGTCAGAAAATGCCCCTGCAGCTTCGACTTTTGCGAAAACGGCTCATCCGGCCGGTGACACCCGTCCCAGCAGCAGTAATATCCCGTACCCTTGGCGCCATCTACGGTCGCCATGTGGCACGCCACCAGATGCTCCTGTAGACCGCATGCATCGGCAAAGGTGGCGCCGCAGGGCAGCTTGGTCCCGTCGGCTTTCGAGGACCACCGGCAGATGTATATCTCGGTATCGGGAGTGTATTCCGGACTGGTCAAGACGGATGAGGTACCCCCTTCCAGCGGGGGCGGCGTCTCTCCCGGGCTCAACTGGGAACTCACACTGGACCGTGAGTGGCGCGAGTAAGGTGAATAGGAATGTACATGGTGTCCGTGCGTGCGACACCGATGAACATGCGTGCGGCATGGCTTCCAATTATTGGTTGGCTTCTGCGCCGGAGCTGGGTTCTTCACTTCGTTCGGAGGATGGTGGTGGTGAGGATGATGAGGGATGTGGAAGCAGGTAAACGAGTTCGAGGCCGCATCATCGGCAGGTTTGTCCTGCTCAGGGCAGTTCTGCACTTCGTGGACGTGGAATTGATGGCACGCAGACAGGTCAGGGCACATCATGTGGAACACATCCGCCGGGTTGACTGCATTCTGCAGAGGTAACCACGGATTTGCTGCATGGTGAGCATCCTTGGATATATCATGGCAGTGAAAATGCTGATGACTGTGGGAGTGACAGTGAGACGCAGGTGCATAAGGGTTGAAGAATGCATCACTCGGTGCAGAGGGTACCATGCCCGTGGGCTGTGTCATGGTCTTGTGCTGCTCTACCTGCGATTGTGGCATGGAAGTCGGGGAGAGTAGGTCAGCTGTGTCGAGATTGAGAGGAGTTCCCAACCCTAATAGTGACTCCAAACTGTGTTCGCCATCAATATTGGTGCCCGTACCGAAGCAGTGTTCATCAAAGCAGACCGGGTCGGTGTTCTCGCAATGATCTTCGTCGCAATGCGACACGGAGCACACTGCAGCATCACCACATTCAATGAAGCCGTCGCAGACGGAGGGGCAGGTGATGGAACAGTCGTCGACATCACAACAGTCCTCCTCGACATTGCAGTCGTCATCCCCATTGCATGGCGGCACCGGGGTGTGATGTACCTGGTCGGAGCAATTCCATTGGACTGGCTGTGCCTCCGAGACATCTTCTGCCTCTTTTCCATCGAGGTGGAACGCCTCCCAGTGGCATTCAAGGCAGAAATCGTCTTTCTTCGTGTGAGAAGCCATGGTGTCGATGACGATCGACAGGCTTAGATGATAGACCGAAAGAGTCCCCAGTCAACCGCGAGGCTGAACAATTATCACACTGAAGAGGGGATGGTGAACGGGACAAACCGTCAGAGAAGCTCTGAGGCGGGGGGGAAAGGAGTAGGATGATCTGGGGTGTGCCTGTCTTTGTCTGACGCAGAGCACGCAAGTGGCAAGTTAGCTTGCCCTCCACACCACGCGAGCGGAAACAGAGATACTCTTACCAATCAAACAGACTGCAATCAAGGTCGGCAATGCAGAGATCGTCCAACGGGAGGCTAGAAGGCCAGTGGTGCGACTGGACAATGCGCAGAAATCACCAAGAATGAAGAACAGCCGATAGAAACGTCGGAGAGAGAAAAGACAGACCGCCTGAAAGCGATGGTATGAGGACCTTGGGGGCCAGCATGAGAGGCGGGTGACAGGCGATGGTGGGCGAACAGGATAGTTCAGAGGTAGTATGAATCAGGGAGCGAGTAGGAGTTGGTAGAGAGAGCGCAAGAGTGGAGTTGGTGGTGATGGAGGAGGAGAGGATACAGCGCAGTAGGGCTCTTTTTTCGGTAAGGTTACCGTCGCGATACGGGGCAGATCTTAATCGGTAATTTGGGGACCTTGGGGACGAGGACCTTGGGGGATGGCGTCATTAGTTTGTGGTCGCCGCAGCGAATGATACTCCTCCCAATATCAGAATTTTTCTCTGTATATTTATCAGTGATTTCCGTTTTCTTCAGAAGTACTTTTTTTTATCAGCAATTACCATTTAATAAGGGATATTCAAGGACTGTGCTTGCAACCCTGAAGATCCCTCGAGGAAAGAGTGTGGGAACCTTGGGGCCAGGCGGAGAAAATTCTGGCCGGATTCTGCCCGCAATACTCCGTTGCCGCCTTGGGCTGAAGTGGGACAGCATCCAGTGCAAATCAATGATGCCTCCTGCATATTGGTGTGTTTGAGGTTGATACTGTTTGATTGACCCAGACAGGAGTAACATCGGTACACCTTTTAGGAAGGACTCGATTTCAACTACCTAAAATGTCTTATCAATTATTAGTGAATGTGAAAAATACCTGTAAACAACATCACCTGACTGGCATTACTGCAGCAAAGTTTCAACCACCACAACCTTGTCTGTCCATCGGTGAACTTTTGACTTTGGGGTAAATTTGATGCAGATCATAAAGGAAAAGGAGATATCCTCAGAAGCCCATATATCACTTAAATGAAATAAAAGTATCTCTAAACAAGAAACTACAGAAACTTTCCGTAGATAATAGTTTGAACCCCTCCCCCTCACAGCCGCGTTCCCCATTCCCCATGTGCCAATTACAATTAACATTACCGACTAACGGATAACGCTACCCACGTGCCCGCCCGGTGCCTTCGGACCGGATCCTCCTCCGCGTCAACTATCAACTATCACTGTTACCTATCAATCAACCTCACTATCTTCCCCATACAATCCACCATCTATCACACCCTTCAATCATCTAAACTCCACGCCCAATACTATTTATTCTCAACAATACAATAATCTTCCCATACAAACCAACCAATCACCCACCCATCCACTCACCATCCATCCCTCCAACCCAATCCATCCAAACCTTCCCCGCACGAACCACCACCGCACCACAAAGTCACACACAAGAAGTAAAATGGGCAACATCTGCTCCAAATCCTCCAACCAACCGGACGCCTTCTCCTCCCCCGGTCGTGTCCTCGGCTCAGGCCCGAACCCCCCAGCAAAAGATTCCTCTTCCTCCGCCCCGCGCGCCCCGCTCCCCTCCAACGCCAAACCCGCCTCGAACTGGGGTTCTGGACCCTCTGGAAGGACGTTAGGGTCGCCTGCTGCTGCTGGGGAAGGCAACGGGGATGCGACTGCGGATGCGAGGACGAAAGCTGCGTTGGCGGCGCAGGTGTGTATTCCTTCCTTTTCTTTACTAGTGATATGTTTTTGGGGGGTTTATCTACTAGGGCTACTAGGCTAATTTTGCAACTACGCATGGGAACAGAAACGAGCCGAGTCCGCTTCTGCAGCTGGGAGTAAAGGAAAGCTAGGCACCAAGTTAGCGGCGCAGAAGGCGCAGACGCAGAATCAGACGTTGAATGAGGCTAGTCGGGATGAGGTGGCTGCTAGGGACGCTGATGGGGCGGCGGAGGCGAGGAGGTGGCAGTAGTTCTTCCATTTTACTACTATGTATCTGTGTGGGGGTGGGGGTTTGTGGTTTTGGTTACGTGGAGTTGATTCTTTTATGGATGTGAGTGAGCGGTTTAGCGGGATATATTACTGTCTTTTTCGGTTTGTTAAGACTTGTCTTTATTGTTGATACCAGAGCAGCTTAGCTTATCTTATCCCTGTTTTCTTCTTCTATTTTATATCTATATTAGATCATCATCTGGAGGTAGAATGCCTATCGATAATATGTCTCTATGGTACAACGATATACTAAACCACGTTGTAGCGACCTCCCACGGGTGCCCGTGCGTCGCTGTCCGCCGCCGCGATGGTGCCCTCCTTCAGCAGTCGCATCAACTCGCGCATGGCGTTCGTCACGGCCAGCTCCGTCTCTCCTTCAACAAGAATATACAACTTGGGGTTCTCGCCGGGCCCAGGCACCTTGCCCGTAGGATAGAAGCTGCCCTTTGTAGTGATGGATGTACCCGTGGCCTCCAAAATCTTGGCCACGTTCGTGCGGTTGGTGACGGCCCACCGAGCTTTTTCTGTAGGGAGGTTAGCATCTGACACTCGATAAAATGGGCGGTGGACTTACGAGGAAAGTCGTTGATTTCCAAGGTGGCGTGGAAGGCGCCTGCATCGGGCCCGCGATTGTCGATGGGCACTCCAGATCTCATCACTCCTGCGCGACTCAAGCGCGCGTGGATATCCGCAACGGCTGAGCCCACCTTGTCCAGTGGGTTCTTGGACGTGCTGTTGGGATCCTTTTCGGTCTTGTGCACGGTAATCTTGCCATCAAGATCAATACCCTTTGGTACGCCAGGCAGGGATGGAGCTGCCGTGGATTGAACAGACGAGATGGCCTTGTTGAACCGCTCCTCAGCCTGTTCATTCTTCTCTTCTTTCTCTTCCTCATCCTCGCCTTCTTCACCAGTCTTGTACGTGCGCCGTTCACGCATACGAGCAGCATCACGCTCCTGGTCCAGACGCTCCAGACCCTTTCCACCGAATCCAGAGGCACTGGCCTTCTCTTTGCCGGCCTTGACCTTTTCCAGGAAAGCATCGACCAGTTTCTGCACCGGCTCCGGCACCTTTTGTCCACTTTGTTTCAGTGCCTTAGCGATGTCGACGGAATAGCGCTCTTGGTCCTCCGTCAGGAATGTGACCGCTGTTCCGGTATTACCGGCACGTCCCGTACGTCCTGCGCGGTGAACGTAATCCTCAAGATGGTTCGGTGCATCGTAGTTCACGACGAGCTTCAGTTGCTTAACATCCAGACCACGAGCGGCAACAGATGTCGCAATCAACACCGGGAAGATACCAGCCTTGAAATCTTCAATGGTCGAGTCACGGTCAATCTGATCTTTGCCGCCGTGGATGGACATGCATGGGTAACCCTTGCGCATGAGCTCACGAAGCAGAGCATCAGCAGCTTCCTGACGATCAACGAAAATGAGAGCACGTGCGTCCTCATTCTCGTCGCTCGAATACAGGTTACCCAGGAGTTCCAGCAAACGTACGAATTTTTGATCATCGTTGCGCACTTCGACTATCTGGGTAATTTCGGGAGCGACGACACTCTTGCCACCAACCACAATTTCAATCGGTTTTGTCAGGGTCTTGCGAGCCAGCGCTTCCATATTCCGAGGAAAAGTAGCTGAGAAAAGCACTGTCTGCCGGTCAGGGCGAATGTTGGCCATGATCTTCATCACCTGTGGCTCGAAACCCATGTCGAACATCCGGTCTGCCTCGTCAAGGACCACATAAGTGACCCGGCGTAGATTAGTGACTCTACCAGCGTTTGCTGCCAAAAGGTCGATCATCCGGCCCGGTGTGCAGACAATGATCTCAGCACCACGCTTTAGATCAGCAATTTGATCTTTGATGGGAGCGCCACCATAAGCACAAACGGCTCGGAGGTTCAAAGCTTTGAGGAATGGCTTGCAGTCCTTGTGGATCTGCGTGGCCAACTCACGAGTAGGCGTCATGATCAGACCAACAGGGCCTTCCATATTGTCCAGCGGCCGTTGATCCTTGATGTGTCGGAACATGGGAATTAAGAAGGCGATTGTTTTACCAGACCCCGTCTTAGCCACACCGATCACATCACGCCCAGACATAATCGCAGGAATGGCCTGAGCCTGGATCGAGGTAGTCTTCTCGTATCCCAACTTGTCGATTACGTCCAGAGTCTGCACTCCCAACCCACATTGAGACCATTTCTGGACTGGCTTGGGAACATCAACACCACGGACTTTAATTCCGTCAAGTTCCAGACGCAAGCTTGCCGCCTCTTCATCCGACATTTGTGCCAGATCAGAAGGCTCCGTGTAGAACTTCTTCCGGAAGGATTCATACTCAACTTTCTTGTGGTCAACGGTTGGGATATCCTTCTTCTTCTTGGCCTTGTTCGCAATAGCGAGGAAATCATCTGCATCCCCATCCCCGACGGCAGTCATATCAATATCATGCTCGTCACCGAACAAAGCCTCAGGCTGTTGCTCTTTGGTCTTCGAGAACTTGGCGCCGACCTTCTTCTTTGGAGGTGCCGACTCAGCAAGCTCTGACATGAATGCATCCAAAGGATCGACTTCCTCCTCTTCCTGAGCATCAACCTCCATGTTGTCGGCGGCTTCAGGAGCGTCGCCCATTACAGTGTCGCTCGATTCGGCACCATTGGACTGGGCTTTTATAGCTTCGCTCTGCAAGCGTTCTTCTCGCCTCTCCGCCGCAGCTCGTGCCGCAGCAGCAGCCTCTTCTTCGGTGCCGTCTTGCATGTCGACATCATCTTCATCCTCATCAGCGGCACCATCTGCAGCTCCATTGACGTCCTTCGTGTCTTCTAATGGAGGCGTAGGTAGCCTTTCTAACTTCCTCCGAGTCGACTCTTCCTCTCCGAATCCTAAAGTCTTGGTAGCCGTGGTCTTTTCGGTATCTGCTGCTTGCTTGGTTCCTAGGCCAAAACGACCAACGTTGCCTTTCGCCTTCAGAGTAGCTGTGAAAGAAATTAGTACTAATCTCCATGGTAATCGAGATTGAGAGAACCACATACCTGAAGCACCGCTTGTAGCCGGCTTGGGCTTGACCTGAGCGGGAATAGTAGTAACTGGCTTGACAGATGGCGGAACGGCAACATCATTGCCCAGCACCGCCGGGGGCGCGGGTGTAGAAGAAGCACTCTTTGCAATCGCCTTTGGATCAAACTTCCCAGTATATGTACCGGGAGTAGCATCAACGACTGGTGTTGCAGGAGATTGGGGAGAACTGACAGCCGGTGACAAACCAGACTTGCGATCAATCTCTTCTAAGATACTTCTCGCTCCACCAGCTGCAGCAGCTTCTCGCTGTTTCCGTTCCTTCTCGGCGGCTTGTTTCTGCTTCCATGCCTCCAGCTTGGCGAGTCTCTCCGCCCTCTTTTCGTCCTCTGTCGGGGCCGCGGTGGCTGCTGGTGTTGACGGCTTCGAAGTCTATAGCCCGTGTTAGATGCGTTCATCCATTGCGACAGAAAAAGCAACGAGGACTGGCTTGGAGCTTACCTCACGAGACCTAGGGGCATCTTTAGCCCGATCCCGGCTATCGTCCCGTCTAGACTTGTACTTCAAATCAGCAGAATCATCTGTCCGCCTTCGAGCCCTGTCGCGGGAATCTTCTCGCCTGCTTCGATAATCCCTATCGCGGCTTCGTCGACGGTAATCATCGCGCTCCCGGGACCGTCGTCGATCGCGAGAGCGTTCTCTCCGACCGGGTCGATATGAGTCTTCGTCGCGTCTGTCTAGCGAGCGGTCACGTCTCCGGTAAGCATCACGGTCGCGATCACGTTCGCGTTCACGGTATCGTCTCTGTAGCCAGGCGAAAGAGATTGTTAGAGCCGTCTAATGGCATCAGAGGGAGAACATGAGCTTATGCGTACCTCAGGGCTGCGCGATCGGCGATAACTCCTGCCATCGTCTCGCCGGCTCCTCTCATAGCGATCATCGTCTCTGCGATTCCGTCTGGATGAGGAATACGTGCTGCCTACAGGTGATGGTGAGCGAGTATCCCCGTGGCGAGCCATTGTTGCAGGCCAACGATGAGTGAGTATTACTGAGACTCAGGAAAAAGCTCGAGCACGTGGACAGGATACTAAAGTGAGTTTTACCCTTCCATTCAATTTATGAGAAACAGTTTAGTTATTTTCTGCGAAATCCAGGCACTGCCGATAGGAACCCGGTGGCGAGAACAGCTCAAGGTGTGGTCGAAGTGATGGTGTCCGACGGTCTGTTCTCTCCCAAACTAAAGAGGCTTTCGCGCCTCAGGCGGCGAGGGAGCCCACTTATCTATCACGTGATTGATACCGATATCAGTAATACTCACGTGAGAGCTTCATTACCCGATTCGGCATCTCCCAAACGACTGAGCTACGCGACCCCAACCTCCCCGGTTTCGTCACTGACAGGCATCCTGCACAAGGGCGAATCCTTCGACAGATCGTTGTTTGGTCACTTAGCAACCTACCCTTTACATATTACTCCGGTTCTCCGATACGCGACTACCATTGTTCAGGGCCATGCCTTTGAACCTAGCTCGGTGCGGAGGGGGTGTTCTCCAACACCTCCAGCTTAGCGAGGCCTTCTCTCGTCCCGTTCGCCAGGCCATCTCTCAGAGCCATGTTAGACGCATGTCCCTCGCCGCTCTGAGTCGCTTCTCGACCCCCAATGTCAGATATGCACCTCTTTCCGCTGCCCTCTCCAGACACCTGACCAGCGGCTATGCGACTGCGGCTTCCCCCAAGGGGCGCGCCAGCACCAAATCGACTTCCACCAAGACGACCAAGTCTACGAAGTCCACCAAGTCTACCAAGAAGCCCCGGGCAAAGAAGGTGCTCACCGATGAGCAGAAAGCCGCCAAGAAGGAAGCTAAGGAGAAGAGCGACTTGAGACAGCTTGTGAAGCAGCTGAAGGCCGCGTCTCTTACGCCGCCCAAGAGGCTCACCAACCACTTCACCCTGACTATGCTGAGCAAGCTTGAGGAGGTCAAGAAGGAAGGAAAGGGATTGAAGGGCAAGGAGGCATTCAAGGAGGCCGCCGACCGTGCCAAGAACATCAGTGAAGCCGAGCGCGAGGTTCGTTGGTTACAAAAAGACGTGAGAAGCTCCGTGATACTGACGTCTGTTTACAGCAATTTGTCGCTACTGCTGCTACCAACAAGGAAGCTTACGAGAAGGAATACAAGGAGTGGCTCGACTCGCACAGTCCCTTGGAGATTAAGCAAGCCAACGACGCCCGGCGAAGACTCGCCCAGATTCAGAACAAGAAGTTCTTCCCTCTCCATGACCCTCGCCTGGTCAAGCGCTCCAAGATCGCGTATTTGTTCTATGCCGAGGAACGCCATCAGGCTGGTGACCTCAAGTACATGTCCATCCCCGAGCGTGGTGTGCGGATTGCGGAAGAATGGCGAGGCATGACCGCTGCAGAGAAACAGGTATGTTTGCTGCGCCTCTCCTGAATTGTTGTCAGAAGGAATGCTAATGCAGCGAACAGAAATACGTGCGACTTCAAGAAGTTGATGCCGACCGGTACGCCCGGGAATACAAGGTCGTCTATGGCGAGGATCCCCCCTATGTGGGAAAGAACGCGACTAAATGAGCATCCTGTATGAGCATTGTGGTATGACTGTCAGGTAATGAGGTGGGACGATTGTTTCAATACCAGGAAGGTCGATTGTGTTTCAAGATTCTGCAGGCGGGTCCTAGGGATAATGGTGTGTCATTTGCCCACTCGGTCTAAGCTGCTTGCCTTCCATGTTTTCGTGCACCTGTATTCTCCATTTGTAACGTGTCTTGAGGGAATTGTACCCTATGAAAGGAAACATCCTTCCCTGTTGATCAAGTGCTCGTAGGAACAATGGGTCGTCTGGCTGGGCTCACAAAAGCCGCATGGTCGCGATACAGTGACGTATCCGAACCACGTGCCTGCGCGGGAGTCATAGCCATCTATCCACAGCAACGATCAACCGTCTCCCACCCATAAGAGCTGAGACATTTCTCGTCCTCTGGATGTGTCGCTTTGGACGGGTATCTGCTTGGTCAAACTGCATATTGCTCGAGCGCAGCCTGGGATCTTCGAATTCTAGACCAACGCCATGTCGCTCAAGACGATGACCGGTGAAGGGTCTACTGAGTCAATTAAGAGGTCGTCGTAAGAAGAACTACTCACTGCATGCTGGTTATTAAACGACATACTATAGATGCACGCATATTTCCGGGTGTTGGGCATAAAAGATCGTATCCATGTGGTGGGTACGCATGCCCTGGGATGATGCAGCGGTCCGACAGACATATGAGTCATTGTCAACAAGCCGTACCTGACTTGCCCTCCAGGGAGGGCCCCGTAATACCATGCTCTTTCTCTACCTCAACTGCATTGTACGCGGGCTGGCCCGTTCTTGCCGGGGGGTGTTTCGTTTAAAAGGGCGATCTAGCGCGTCAAGCTAGAAATGTCCCAATTTGGATACATGCAGAGACCGCAGACAGGGGAGTCTACTATGATGAATAGTATCAACATATAGTTAGTATGCATTCAACGCAACTCCCTAAGCAGTAACAGCCTGTAGATAGCAGCAAGTGGCTGTAGAATCGGCGTGCATCACTGCATATGCTTTTTCCGCGGCGGGGCACGGGAAACAACCAGGGTCTAGAAAATGCATGCGATGCAGCGATTGCGGACGTTCGGAGATTCTCAACAGGATGGACAACTGTACAGCACACTCGGACGATAATGGGGAAGGAGACATATTCAGGCGGAGCTGATGGATGTACATAGTGGTGTATCAGGACTAGTCTGACCGGATTAACTGCGACGGTGTCAAAGAGCCCCGACGAAGGGGAGCTGCGAATGGCCAGTGGTTGGGTCTCCATTGCGCAGAACGTGATCTCATAGGCTGGTGGAGGGGTCTTTGCCTTCGATGCGGTGAAGAAAGAGGCCACCGCATCCACCCAAGAATGGGGTGGTCGTTTTATTTTTTTTTCTGACATCCGAGTTTCTCGCCGAATTTAGAACGAGAGGGGAGGAGAGGGCATTTTGGCTGCCTAAGAATAAGACTGGACGGGCTTTCTTGGATTTCCGCATGATGATGAATGCAAGTTCGGACCAATGTTGGGAAATTATGCTGTTGTTGTTGCATAGATCTGGAGGCACGTGCGGTGGTGGATCGAAGAGATTGCGAGGCTCAGATGGAGGATCATTGAATTGATTCTCTCCGTACAGTACTGACAGTAGGCAGGGACATACAGCATCTGATATGTCCGACGTGCGTGATATTCGAATGAGTGGTGATTCTTTCTTGTTCTTCCCTTTTGCAGTGATGCCCTATGCGACTTTCATTGACCAGCCATTGATTTGTTTACTTTAGCTGCGGTAGTTAAATACTAGTCTAGTCTTAGTAAGTTAGTAGATGTCCGCAAGTCGAACCAAGGAACCGGTGATCTTTTAGCTCCTCTTTTTTCCCTCAGCAGACTTTCCATTTCCATCAAAGCAGTAATAATAATGTTCGACCCCACTTGATGCCGGGAAGAGAATGACAACGAATACCTGGACTGTTTAAACCCTTTTTGGTAATGCTCTGAATACCCTTTGTCGGGCTCTCTCAGACTCCTTCCCCCCTTTCTGATGAATGACGGGCTCCTTTCTGCATAATGGGGAGGGAGGTCATTCCCGATGATGGTTACATACATATAGAGAGACCAATCTACCCGTCCAGAGGCATATGCGCAACCACTGCAAGTCAGTCAGAGTGTATGTACTTCACAGTACATACCACCACTAAAGTACATACCTTCATAGTCCGAGTCGTCGATCGCGCCAACGCTTTCCCACCGCGAAGGAGGGGGGCATTCGTTATCGATAGGAGCATCTGCCCACCGCCCCCGTCCTTGCGCGCAACCCAACTGGGTTGTGTGACTGGCTTGTGCCTGCGTGACTCTGACTCCCTTTCATCTTCCCATTGCTCGCCGGCTTTACTGCCGTTCTTCTCAAGTCTCACTTACAGTGTACATAACACCACAGTTCTTACTACTGGATACTTCTCAGTCCCCCGTTGGTCGCTGCGTTAAATGCGCCAATAAAACTTTCATCCACATCCACGTCCACATCCACAGACTCTCTCACCTACCGCGCCGTGCGACTATACCGGCATCTTCCCAGCGATCCCGCTGCCCCGTTGGCCCATTACCACTTCCCCAGCCACCGGGTTACGCTACTGGGCCTCGGAGAATCAAATCACACGCTTTTACTCCGTATACGTCGATCAATCAAATCAAAGAGCTGCTTGTAAACTTGAGCAGAATAGAAAAAAAAAAAAAAAGGTTTGCAGTCTCACTCATCTTTTTCTTTCCCTCGAACTTTTTTATTTACTTTTGGTGGCACTCCCGCAGTCCGTCTTCAACTACTACTTGCTTCTTCCATACTCACCTTCGAGCGACCGCTGATTTTCCCGACGTATACTAGTTCGCATTCCTCACTGTCTATCGCATACCAAATCATCCAATCCCATTCTCGCCTGGGAGGATCTTCCGCAGAATCGCGCTCCATTCCTTCTTTCCACGTCTGCCACCGCCCTAGGGTCATGAATTCCATGGCCTCTCCTCGTATCCCTGCTTCTCCCTGCTGAACTTCTTTCGTCAATCTAGATCTCCTCACTTCCTCTGGCATTCCTTCTGAGGTCGATCGACTCCTGGCTCGCCCAATCTCCAGTCCTTATCGCAAGTTTCGGTCTGCCTGGCGTCTGACGTGACGTTTCGCGTGGTGTAACTACTACCATTAGCCCTGGGTCCTTCCCACTTTTTGAGTCTCCGTCGTCTTTGCATTCATTCCTCCTGCGCTGTCGCCTATTTGTACGTCGATTTCGTCGCTCGAACGCCAACCGCCTCAATTGGGGCCGATAGTCTTTTGATATCCATGCGCCTGGCATAGAGCAGTCGCTGGTCGTCAGACGAGTGTCGGTCGATTTTCCAGGATGGAAGTTATGCGGACAATCCCTCGTGATGAATTTGTATCTCCGCTGAGGGTACACTTCCCTTCCCCGCTGGGACCTGCCGAACGTCAGAAGGAAACATGCGACTTGTCATATGGCTGGCTGCAGATAAATGGTCTAAATTCGGGGTGTCTCGGGTCCCGAAGATACACCACCAGGAGTGGTGGTGAGCATTACGGCAAAGTCCTCCAAGTGGTGGAACATCAAAACAAGGTAAGTTACCTGTGAACTCAATGGCACATAAACTACTAGCCACGAGACTGCTGTTCCCATTGCTAATGGCTAGACCTGTAAGCAGGATACGATATTACGGCGAACATTAGGTTACGAATCATCGCTGGCTCTGGAAGCTGACATCCATGCCTTCGAGCCCGAAGGCTATGATGCACCGCCGCCTACATATGACGATGTGATCAAAGATCTACCTCCACATTACGCCACGCTTGCTCCCTTAGCCCAGCGGAAGTGTCTTATCCAGGACTCTGCGCCCGCGCCCCCACAGACTACAGATGAGTCAAAGTCTAAGGGTGCATCGCGACCATTCAATTTTTGGTCTGCAACGGGCATTCGGGAAAGAGCAGGAAAGAAGAATAAGAAGAAGAAGACGGCCGCGCAACCCCAGCGACAGAGCACCCCGCCGGCCGAGGAAGGTGGAGGCGACAAGCCAGATGAGGGCGGCGGAGATGAGCAGAACGGTGATACCGGTGGAAATGGAGGCGGCGATTCTGGAGGTGGTGGTAATGGAGATGATAATGGCCAAGATGGGAACGGCGACGGTAATAATGGAGAGGATGACGACTGGGATGCCTGGAATACGACAAGCACGAAGAAGAGCAAGAAGAAGAAGAAACAAGAGGAAGAGGAAAAATTGAAGGAAGAAGAAGAGCAACGAAAACGGGAAGAAGAGGAACAGCAGGCCAGGGAAGAACAGGAGAGATTGGCCAAAGAGGAGGAAGAACGGCTGGCTAAGGAAGAGGAGAAGCGGGCTGCAGAAGAAGCCGCCGCCGCTGCCGCCGCTCCCCCCGACCTTAGCTGGGCAGATGACACTAATGCCAACGGTGACGATGGCTGGGATTTTGCCACAACAACCAGCAAGAAAAAGAAGAAGAAAGGCAAGGTATGTTCTGCATCGTCGCTGCGATACAGATGATAAATCCTAACTTATCAACAGGGCGCCGACCCTAGCCCGCCCGAACCGGCGTCCAACGGGTTCCAAGACATAAGCTTGAACGACAGTGCGCCGCAACTAGACTTGGGTCTGCCTCCAGCAGCGCCAGGGACGGGCTTCAGCTTTGGGGGCTGGGGTCAAGATTGGGGTTCTGGTGATAAATGGGGTCTTAACACCATGAACGGCATGAAAGACGACAAGCCAAAAGATAATAGTAACCCCTGGTCCTTCTCCGGCACCAACGGCATGTCGAACGCCTCCGTTGGGTTCAGCTTTGGTGCGGACCTTGGAAGTACTCCAGCTGCCAACGAACCCCCTCCTGCCTCGGAAGAGAACAAGCTAGAGGACGACTGGGGAATTCCTGTGACCAAGAAGGACAAGAAGAAAAAGAAGAAGGGGATCGAAGAGGAGCCGACACCCGACCTTCTTACGGAAGAACTAAAATCAGATAACGCCTGGCCGGGTGCTGAAGAGAAGAAGGAGCCAGAATTTGCTGATGATGACTGGAGCTGGGGGGCAACTATTAAGAAAGACAAGAAAAAGAAGAAGGCTGACGAGCCTCTTCTTGAAGAGCCCCCCGCCCCTGAACCTCCTGCCGCAGCCGATCCGCCGCCTGAAGATGACTGGAGCTCTCCTTGGGGCCCTGTAACGAAAAAGAAAGACAAGAAGGGTAAGAAGAATGCCCTCCTCGACGAGCCAGTCGTTGAGCCAGCGCCTGCCGAGATAAAGGATGATGATTGGTCATCGGGCTGGGATGTCCCAAAGAAGGATAAGAAGAAAAAGGGCATGGTCTTTGAGCTAGAGCCGGAGCCAGAACCCCAACCCGATCCCGTGGAGCCAGAGCCTGAACCTGAACCAGTCGTGGAACCTGAGCCCGAGCCCGAGAAGCCAGACTTGGGATTCCTGGAGAACCCTCTTTATAATAACTGGCATACGCTCTCGTCCAAAGACCGAAAGAAACGTGAAAAGTCACTGATCAAAGCCGGACTTCCCATCCCTGGCAAGGACTTCGATCTTCCTGATCCGAATGCTGAGCCCCCCAAGGAACCGGAGCCAGAGGAGCCAGAACCAGCTCCTGAGCCTGAGCCCGAGCCGATAGCTGAACCGGTCATTGAACCAGAGCCTGAGGTCGAACCGGAGCCCGAAAAGCCTGCCTTTGAAATTCCAGATACTCCTCTGTATAATAACTGGCATACACTCTCGTCCAAAGACCGGAAGAAACGTGAAAAATCACTGATCAAAGCTGGACTTCCCATCCCCGGCAAGGATTTTGATCTTCCTGATCCAAATGCTGAGCCCCCCAGGGAGCCCGAGCCAGATCCTGAGCCAGCTCCTGAGCCTGAGCCCGAGCCCGAGCCCGAACCGATAGCTGAACCTGAACCTGAACCTGAACCGGTTATTGAACCAGAGCCCGAGGTTGAACCGGAGCCCGAAAAGCCTGCCTTTCAGATTCCAGATACTCCTCTGTATAATAACTGGCATACCCTCTCATCTAAAGACCGGAAGAAACGTGAGAAATCACTGATCAAAGCCGGACTTCCCATCCCCGGCAAGGATTTTGACCTTCCTGATCCGAATGCCGAGCCCCCCAAGGAACCGGAACCGGAGCCAGAGCCAATTCAAGAACCTGATCCAATCCCGGAAGTTGAACCTGAGCCTGAGCCCGAGCCTGAACCCGAGCCCGAGCCTGAAGTCAAAACTCCTGAGATACCCGACAGTCCCCTCTATAACAACTGGCACACACTCTCATCTAAAGATCGGAAGAAACGTGAAAAATCATTGATAAAGAGTGGCCTTCCGATTCCTGGTAAAGATTTTGAGCTTCCTGACCCCAATGCTGAGCCCCCCAAAGCGCCGGAGCCGGAGCCTGAGCCAGAGCCGGAGCCAGTTCAGGAACCGGAGCCAGCTCCAGAGCCAGAACCAGAGCCAGAGCCAGAGCCACTAGCTGAACCTGAATCTGAACCGATCCCGGAAGCTGAGCCTGAGCCTGAGGTCAAAGGTCCTGAGATACCAGACAGTCCTCTCTATAATAACTGGCATAATCTGTCATCCAAGGACCGGAAGAAACGTGAGAAATCATTGATCAAGAACGGACTTCCTATCCCGGGTAAAGATTTCGACCTTCCTGATCCGAATGCTGAGCCACCCAAAGAGCCTGAGCTTGAGCCAGTGCCTGAGCTTGTTCAAGAAGAGCCGGCACCACCTCCAGCCCCAGAACTGGAGCCTGAACAAGAGCCTGAACCTGAGCCAGCTTGGGAGCCACAGCCCGAGCCTGCGCCCGAGCCTGTCCCTGAAGTGGTCCCAGAACAGACTTATGAGGAGGAGAGCTGGGGAATATGGAACGCTCCGAAAGAAAAGAAGAAGAAGAAGAGCAAGATCGCAGCTGAGCCTCCACCGCCCGCACCGACACCGCCATCTCTTGGGTGGACTGCCGAGCCGGAGGGATACGTACCCACTGACCAAGTCCCCGAACAGCCTCTCTGGGATGACTACGACAGCAAGCCTTCGAAGAGCAATAAGAAGGGTTACAAGGAGGAAGAGACACCTAAGAGTGGCATGGGTTTCTGGGCCACCATAGGTGCTGCAACTATGGGCAAATCCAAGACTACAAAGAAAAAGTCATCAGAGAAGACTAAAGCCATAGAGGCAGCACCAGAGCCCGAGCCTGAACCTGTACTAAGTCATCCTGCAGAGGATGATTTACTCATTGACGTTGACGATTCAAAGATGCCCGAGGCGCCCGAAGCGCCAATCCCGCCAGTTGTCGACGAACCACCCGCGCCAGCCGCGCCGCCAGCGAAGACTCCCGTTGTCACCTCGAAGACCAAGTCATCGGCCAAATTGTCCGTCTCAGAGCGAATCAAAGTTTTGGAGCAAGGGAAGAAGGGGAAATCAAAGGACAGGGTTGCTAAGGAAGAGCCTGCCCCACCCCCAGAGGAACTCCCTGCTCCCCCGCAACCCGAGCCTGTCGAGTTGTTTGACCCCGAACCGGTTCAGTTTAAAAAGCCCTCGAGGGATTTGGTTCCAGGCAGTTTCCCAGACGCATTCGACGACGAGGAGGACTTTTACGATATACCCCCGCCACCTGCCCCGGAACCGCCTGCCCCAGAGCCGGAACCTCAGTTTGAGCCAGAACCTGAGCCTCAACAACCTGAGCCCGAGCCCGAGCCCGAGCCGGTGCCTTTGTCAAAGAAATCAAAGAAGAAGGACAAAAAGAAGGCGAAGGCTATTGTGCTTGAACCTGTGCCTGAGCCGGTACCTGAACCAGTTCCTGAGCCTGTACTTGAACCACCGGCTCCTGAGCCCGTGCCTGAGCCGGTCCCTGAGCCTGTTGCAGAACCAGAGCCAGAACCCCAGCCCGAGCCGGAACCCGAGCCAGCCCCCGCACCTATTCCCATCTCAAAAACTGAAAAGAAGAAGAAAAAGAAGAAGGTCGTTGAGCCAGAACCGGTTCCTGAGCCAGTGCAAGAACCGGAGCCTGCTTTTGAACCTGAACCTGAGCCGGAGCCAATAGCTGAACCTGAACCCGAGCCCGTACCTGAGCTCGAGCCTGAATTCGTTCCTGCTCCTGCTCCCGAGCCTCCGATCGAGCAAGCACGGGAGATAGAGCCGGTGGTCGACGAAGCACCTGTTCCCAAGCCCGAAAAGCCGAAGAAAAAGAGCAAAAAGGTGTCTAGTCGAGAAAAAGCACCCCCGGTCGTGGAACCAGCCCCTGTCGATGCTGAGATTGACGAAGCAGCGGCAGAAGCTGATGTAGGCGCGGGCGGCCCTCCTACGCCTCCACCAGAGCCTGCTGAACCTGTCGAGCCTGAACCAGAGAAGACGGCCAGGAAGGAGCGTGTTCGTGTTGAGCGCACTCCTGGTTCAGCATCTTGGGGATTTTGGGGTGCCACGCCTCAAAAGCAGCCCAGCACTAAGGAACATCGGCGTAGACGGGAACGTGAACGGGAACGAGAACAGTCACCCCCGCCTATGGTCAGATCGAGATCGACCAGACAACCAAGGTCTAGGGATCTTGAGAACGAGGGAGAGAAGTCAACCTCTGACAAGGACAAGCGCAATAGCCGAGGTATGACTCTTGCTGATTTTGTCCTGGGCACGCCGCCGCCGCCTAGTAGGACAAAGTCCAGTCGAAGACACGGAACACACGCGTCCAGGAATACCTCAAGACGTCCATCCGTGGGTATGGAAGACGCCGGGTTCCCCAGTCCTCCACCGGACGATAGCCGGGATATGCCGGATAAAGCCGCCAGGATGATGGGCGTAAACGGCTCCTCCCGGAGAGAAAGAGAGAGACGGCATGAATCTCGTAGAAGATCTCGTATGTACTCTGTTATATAACTGCCTGTAGCGCTGCTAACAGTTTTTCAGGCGCTCCTGACCCGTATGCGGTTGAAGACGAGGACATCGTCATGGTAGACCGGGACGACATTGATGCCCCGAAGGAGGGCTCAAGGGGATCGAGGCACTCCGACAGACGATCGAGGAGAAAGGTAAGCAAGATTTCAGTGATATCACTCGGAAAGTTCTGTCACAATGCTAACTTCGTGCGTAGTCTCGGTCCAGACAAGAAGAGCATTATGAAGATGCTGAAGTGTTTTCGGGACCAGAAGATATTGCTTTCGTGGAAGCACCAAGAGAGCGACGCGTGAGACGATCAAGTACTGCTCCCAAGAAACCAGAGTCCACTGGTCTCATGGGCTTCATCGGCTCTTTGCGGAAGAATGCTCGTCCGGACCCTCCAGAGCGCCGAAAGTCCAGGTCTCATCGTGATGAGGATGCTAGGTACATGACAGATCCAGAGCGAGAGGAGCGGCGTGCAAGACGCGAAGCTCGCAGGAGACGTGCAGAAAGAGAGGCTGAGCTCGACGGCTTTGTCACTGAGGGCGGTCCAGTAGGTGGGTTCCCGGAAACCGACATGGACGAAGTTGAGGCTAGACGGGCAGCCCGTCGAGCGAAGCAATCCTCTCGACAGGCGCCGTCTGATCAACTCCGTGAGAGCGAGTGGCGCGACGCCGAAGAAAGACGTGCTCGACGGAGGGAAAGAGAGAGAGCTCGTGAGCAAGAGATGCAGGAGAGAATGCTCCGTGAGGAGGAAGAGAGGGAAGCAAGACGCCAGGAAGAGCGAAGGCTTCGTAGAGCAGCTCGTGAAGAGCGCCGTGCTCGAGAAGAAGCAGAGGCCCGAGAGGCAGAAGAGCAGGCCGAAGCCGAAGCCAGAGCAGCAGAACGGCGCGAACGCAGACGGCGGAGGGAGGCAGAGATGCAAGAAACCGCCGCGTACGAGCCCCGGTCCAAACGTCGATCCTCCCGTCACCCTGTCGATGACAGAGCAGCCCGAGAATTCTATCTTGGCGGCTACGATGGCGAGAGGGCTTACCGTCCGGAACGGTCTACTGAAGAGGGGGTGAGGCCCCAACGTCGCAAGTCCAGGGCTCCAGAACCGGAGCGCGCACCACCGATGATGTCCGGAGGACGCAAGGATAAAACTTCGTCCTGGGTGCATTCGCAAGCGAGCGACCCGCCTGAACCACCACCGGTCGTGGCCACCGTATTGGACATGCCACCTGGTGCAGGTGAGCAGGCCCAGGCGAACTCGGTCTCCTCGGACGAGGAGGCACGACGTGAGCTGCGGCGTCGGGCCCGACGACGAGCCAGATATCCTGGCATGACGGATCAGGAAATCGACGAGTTGCGGGCACGAAAGCGCGAGGCTAGACGGTCTGAGCGTAGTTCAGGCAGCGCTGATTACGAACGGGTCCGGGGCATGAGGTCGTACGACGATCGTTATGCACCGCCAGTCAATGGGCCCAGGATGCCGAATTGGTTCAAGAGACTGACCAATTTGGGTTGAGCTGGTGGTTTGGAGCATTGTTATGAGGATGTTTCTTTTCTTTACGAATGGAATGATGAATGACATAAAGCGATTTTTGCCATTGAAGGGACATACGATTTGGCTATGATGTACGATTAACTTACTGAGAATGGACTCTGCTTGATGGATATACCAGAGTGAATGAACTGATGACTTATACCGTCTTCACATTGTAGCTGTACATATATCCCACCTACTCAAGACGATGCCATCTCCCTCTCCCTCCGTCTATTCTCCAAAAACCCTCTCCCACCTTCATACACACAAAGATACACCCCAAACGAAACCGCGGTCCACACAGACCGTATCGCCCCTCCCTTGAACAATCCCCTGACCCCTTCCTCTCTATACACCTTCTTTCCCACTTCCCACGCCCCCCACCTCCTCCTTTCTCCCCTCTTATCCCCACTACCACCAGTATCACTGCTGGTACTACCCCCAGCCCCCAACATCATCCTCGTCTTAACCACATCCACCGGCGTAGTCACAACAGACGAAACCGTCCCAGCAATAGCAGCAGAAACACCCGTGATAAGAGCCCTCTGCACATTCCCAAACTGTCCCAACACATCCCCTCCCACTTTCCCATCTCCATCCGTCCGACACCGAAGTAAATACCCCGCCCCCAACCCCCTAAGATACTCAAAAAGAGGAAAATTCAACCCCGTAAAGGGCAGATTCCGGCCCAGCAGCGCGGTATATCCACTCCAGAGGGATAATGGCCTGTGGCGGAACTTGCGTAGCGTGAGGAGGGTTATATTTGTTTTTGATGGTGTTTTCTTTGGGTCATTGGGATTGGGATTGGGATTGGGATTGGTGTATACCTGCGCATTCTGCTTAATTACCTCCGCAGGAGTCAAAATAAAGCATGAGACGGATTCAGCGACGCATGAGGAGAGGGAGTGGATTATTGGTGTTGGAAGGGGAGGTTGTTGTGTAGTGGTGAGGGTGTGTTTTAGGCTTTCGTAGGTGGTGAAGAATGCTCCTGCTATGTCACCATCATACATATTAATTTCAATATCTATAAGTATATATAATGTGGATGATTTGGGGTAGTACTATATGTTATGAATGATGGTGGGGGGGCAGGCATACAAGCAGGTAAAGTAGCGAGAATGACGCTCCCTACACCTTGGTAGAGTCCCCTGAAGAGGAGTTTACGGTTCAGGGTTCCTGTCGTAGCGTCTTTGTATATTTTGTTGTAGGTTGGAGATTGGATGCGCGTTTTGAGCGTGTCGATGGGGTACACGAGGAAGTCGACGATTAGGACGGCGAAGGCGCCTGACTATTTGATGTTCAGTCTATCAGTGTTGTGGTTGGTGGTTTGATTGTTGAGTATGGACGTACCAGCCAGATATCAGTGTTGGTATTGTACATCATGCATAATATCTATTGAAACAGGAATTGAGTCTATGTTCATTGGAAATACTAGGTAAGGCATGATCTTATCTAGTAGTATCTATCTCGCTATCGATGAGGTCATCACCACGTGCCAGTAACTGGCCTTGCCCTAAGGCGGAATTAGGGCTGGATCAGCTACTCTCTAATCATAATCAATACAATAGAGGTAAAGAGCAGCAGCAGCAGTAGCAGCAGTCAAGTAAGGAGGTATGGTATCAAGTCATGCCCGTTCTAATTCTCATGGAAGAAGCAAACAGGAGTCATATTAACAGCCCGTCAGATACAGAAGTTTTCCCTCCCTACGCCGTAAGGTCATGCAATTCCAAGAACTAATCATCATCGCCCGCCTTTCCTATTTTCCTTTCCTTTCCGTTCCTCCGCATCCATCTATTTGGCCGTCTCACCCGGAAGCAGGTTGCCCTTGACGGCAAACATCTTACCCGTCGTCGCGGACACGAAGCTGTCGACCTGGCGAGCGTACTGCTCCACCTGGCGGCTGTTGAGCATGCTGTCCAGGCGGCTGGGCTCCTGGGGCAGCTTGAACAGCCGCTGCCACTCATCCTCGGGGAGGAGGGGCTGCTTGAGAGCCGCGCGGCTGGCGTTCTCGGTCTTGCGCTTGTTCTGCCACGCGGTGATCTTGGCCTGCTCACGGGCGAGCGACCGCTGGTAGTACTGGAAGTTGTTGGTCTCGGTGTGGTGCACCTCGATGCTGTCAAGCAGGAGGTCGCAGTTCTTCTCCAGGAACGGGTCGATGCTGAGAGAGAGGTTGTCGAAGTTGGGCGCCAGCACGGACGACTTGGCGTACTGAGACGACTCCAAAGCGGCCAGGGACGGGGGGAGATCGGAGGGAGTCGCCTGGACGGGGGTCTGGAGCTGGTGGATGAAGGAGGTGATCAGGTGAGAGTTGTGGATTTCAACGGGGAGCTCGACCAGGATGTCCTGGTACCTGAGGTTGGACTTTTGCAGCCTGCCAGAAAATAAAACAATTAGCATACGTCTATCATCCCTGCGAGTCAAGGGTATGAACGTACTCCTCAGAAGTGAACTTGTTCTCCTTGAAAGCCGCCATGAACTTAGGGGACAGGCGGAAAGCGCGCAGGCTCAGGCTGCCCTGTGCGCTGCGGCTGACATCGTGCACCAGAGCGACCGTGCGCTCGTTCATATCCTTCTGGTAAAAGAACTGGTTCTCGATCACGTTCATGTTGACGAAGTTGCCCATGTTGGCGCTGGTGTACCAACCGACGTTGTTGGCGTCAACGTTAACCTCGCGCATCATGCGGATCATCTCAGCCTCGTAGGCGGCGTTGGCCTTCGCGCGGGGGGCAGCAGCAGCCGGGTTGGGAGCGGCGTTGTCAAAGTGCGATTCGGCGGGCACCTCAACGACGGGGAAAGGGAAGCAGTTGGTGATCTCCAGGGTACCGTCGACATCCATACCAACGATCGAACCGGTCGCAGTCGTCGGGAAGGCTTGAGAGCCGTGCTTGATGATCTTCATCACGACCTGTATGCCACGCTGTAAGCATTGCTGCCGGCCGTGAAAAAGGCGGGTGGGGGAATTGGGAGATTTTCATGGTGTGCATACCAAGGCCTCGACCTTGACGGCCGTGAGAGGGACTTCTTTCCTATTGCAAGCATTAGTATACAGATGCCCAGATCAGATCGAACAGACCAGGAAAACTTACTCCGCCATGTTGAATATGTGCCTGGGAATTGCGTATACAGACGGCGACAATGAGATGGCAGTCGGCGGCGAGGTTTGTGTGGATGGAATTCAGCATTTCCCACCGCCTAGCCCCCAAACCGGCTAGCGTGCCAAGCCCCATACGAGCCGCCGGTCCGCTTGCCTTTTTGGGCGCTTTCAATCCCCCTTGCATAACTTTACGCTCAAAAGCATCGTTTCTGCCAAAGGATATCTACTCTCACTATAAAAATATTCCGTCATGAGGTTATAGACTTCCAATTGAGGCAAATATGCTGAAAATACTCCACCCAATGATGCCGTACCCGGGTTCCGGGGGGAACACTAACCATGACCTTATCTACGGAGTTACATCCGCAGATTCCCAAGCCAACGAACTAACGCTATCACTGACCCCTCACTAACCAGCCCAGCACTTCTACATTAACCAAGCAAGCATCTCTCATCCACAGACAATAGCACCTCAAATCATATCAAACAGCAAACGATCGCAATAATGGGCCAAACACACCCCTCCTCCAAACCCACAACACCTCCCCCCTCCATCGAAACCTTCCCCTACGGCACCGATCACAGCCTCCAAACCGTCACAGTGGCCACTCTCAACAACGACAACAATGAAGGCTACTGGGTGATGTAAATTCCCCCAATCTAACCCTCTATATACACAAACTAACCAATAAACCACACAGTCTAATCCACGGCGGCGCCTGGCGCGATCCAACCCAAACCGCCACAAACTACCTAACCCCCGCCCTAAGCACCCTCACCACCAATCCCTCCTACACCAACAACACCTCCCACCTCAAAGGCATCGCTTCAATCTCCTATCGTCTCAGCCTGCACCCATCACACCCGCAAGACCCTCAAACCACCGAGCCCACACACCTCCGCGCCGCAAAGCACCCAGATCACATCTCCGATGTGCAATCCGCGCTGTCCTTCCTGCAAGAGAAATACAACATCGGGAGGAATTACATCCTATTGGGACATAGTTGTGGTGCTACGCTGGCGTTTCAGTCTGTGATGGGGAGGTTTCGGGACTTGTTGAAGGGGGAGGTAATTCTGCCTCCTCCGGTGGGGATTGTGGGGATGGCGGGGATTTATGATCTTCGGTTGTTGAGGGATACGCATCGGAGTGTCAGTGCGTATCAGGAGTTCAGTGAGGGGGCGTTTGGGGCTGATGAGGCGGTTTGGGATGAGGTGTCGCCTGCTTTGGGGAGGGGAGAGGAGGGGGTTTGTGGTGGGTGGAGTGGGATTGGGGATGGGGATCGGTTGGTGGCGGTGTTGGCGTATTCCGGGGGTGATGGTCTGGTGGATCCGGGGCAGAGGGAGGTGATGAGGAAGGCTTTGGAAGAGGAGTGGGTGGGTGGTGGGAGTGGGAGTGAGGAGAGGGTGGTGGAGATGTTGGATATTGAGGGGGATCATGATGATGCGTGGGAGAAGGGAGAGGATTTGGCGAGGGCGATTGCGTTTGCGATTGAGAAGGTTAGGGGTCAGTAGGCAGGCTAGATGAATTACGTAGAGTAAGGGATGGATGATTGAATGACGAGCATGTAGTAAGGGATGGATGATTGAATGACGAGCATGTAGTTCATTATGTCCCCTCTGTCTCTGTTCCTGACTGAAACTAAGGTATTCTACATAAGAGCCGAACTCGCCATGTCTGAGTGATCTTGAAGTCACGGGAGACAAACCCGAGGAATAAACTAGTACACATTAGAAGCAGAGGAAAACAGACCCGCCATCTTCGAAACTTCCAACGCCCACCAGTGTTCGTGATCATTATTGCAGTGCACATGAGATAATGAAATTGTAAAGACCCGTCATACGCCCGGGATTTCAGAAAGCCGTTAGTCGGAAGACGCGTATGTGTTTAGAGGAAAAAGAGAAAAAGGAAGTGAAACCGCAGAAAACGATCCAGACGCGCGATGAAATGCAAGTTCATAATGCTGCGCCCATGCCAAGTGGATATGAGAGGAAAATGAGGAAACTCCGATGAAGCAGAAAGATCATGCCAGGGAGCGTCAATCAGTTGCCAAGATCCATACGGCCAGAGGCGGCATCGCCGGCGACTCTCTCTTCCTTGGTCTCAGAGATAGGCTCGTCGTCGTCATCTAGCTCTTCCTCCTCACTGTCGTCTTCGATGTATTTGGCTTCCACACCGGCTTCGCGAAGGGACGCCTTTGTCTCCTCCCGGTAAGCATCCTGCCAGCGCGCAAGGGCAGCCATGGCGTGCACCTTGAAGCCGAAGCAACGGGGCTGATAGCGGCGGATGCTCTTCTCGGGAAGCAAAGCAGGATAAACCTGGAAGAGCATGCTGTGGAACGAAGTGCCGAAGTAAGCGCCGTCGATAGAAGCATGACGAGACGACTTGGGGTTGTAGATATCCTCGCACTTGGGGCAGTACAGGCGAACAGTGCTCTGGTTGGCAACGTCGTGCTGGCCCATGGGCAGGAGGGGGTGTCCGTCACACATAACACGGGGGCATTTGCCGAAATCGCAGCGCTTGTATTTCTCAACCTAGATTGTCCGTCAGAACCACTTTCACATACCCTTCACAACCCCGTAGTGTAAGACATACCATCTTGGCAAGACCGCGAGTTGTGACAATGTATCTGGCATGAACTAGACCATAGAGGTGACGCGCCGACTTCTCAATTTGCTCGCGCAAATCGTCGTCCGCGTCGAGGTCGAACACGTCTGTCACAAGGTCCAAAGCATACTGGTAGTAGGCGACCTCGGTGTTCAGGCCGGTAAGGTTGAAGCGATCGGTCAAATAATCTTCGTCGATTTCGCAGAAGTATTCGTTTCCACGAGATGAGATAAACTGATGAATGAAGTCAGCATATCTCTGAGGCAGTACCACGCCATATGAATAGCTAGACGAAGAGCGGATATGGATCTGAGGTCGGGGACGAGGGCGAGCTTCGATGGGTGGTCGAAGCGTAGCAAGCGACGACTCCTCACTAGTAGAACTAGTAAACTGAGCCATCTTGTCTCACTGGTGAGGGAACAAGAGCAAACGCGCAGCTGAAATCAACAAAGAAGCTGAGCAAAATGATTGCAGCAGAGAAGATCTCAAGCATGAGAGCGTGTTATTCTCACTTTTGGTCCCTCACCAGCCGCAACGACATCGTCGAGAGCAGGCGCGGAGCCACGCATCTCCCTTCACTTGCAAAGCCGCCGTCGTCCCCGTTTCGCACAGGAAATCACGAAGCGAGTGATAAACTCACCCAATCTCTCCAGTAGCTAGTGTAGTCACTGTCGGTTTCGCTGTTGAAGTCCTCCATGGTTTCTTCCCTTTAGCAGACTCCGCCGAGGGGGATGTGATCAAGAAAGACTAGTATTCGTGCTTGGCCTGTAGCAGTTGCTGAGAGAGACGGTCGGACAACTCCAGTGCAGGAGAGCCCCCAGAACTGTACAGTTGGAACAATCCTTCTTAAAGCATCCAACAGTCACGTCTCCGGAAGAAAAGCAGATTCGGGGTTCGCGAGCGATAATGAGGGTGGTTTGGCGTTGGGGGGGAATGCAGTGTGTGTTTCTTCTCCATCCAGCCGGACTGTTATCAGTGGATCGCCTTCTTCCAGTTTAGCGCGGGGTTGGCGGTGAGATTCTTCATGCGGCGGCTCACCGCCTTGCATGCTTTCACTACAGCGTTGGTGACTACTCATGCTCTGCTTTCACCAGATGATAACTCAGATTAATGTGTGGACTTAATGAAAGACTTATGGTAGCTGCTTTGATTTTGCATTCTCAATGTATTGGGATCCTGCCCACTTGTTCCATCAACCCGAAGATCTACATCATCACTTCCCCTATATAACTGTGAAGATCTACTTCCAACATGCAGTATATCCAAATACTCAGCGATTGACTCAGAGGGAAGGGTTGGCATTGGTCAAAAGCTGCTCAAAGTATGCCTAGGACACAATGTCAGCATGATTCTCAAACCACACTTCAATCAACACCCACCTGGAACTAAGTACCAGCCTCCGGGGCAGGCTGCAAAGCATCACTATATCCGCAATGCGCATCGTAGCGAGAAGAGCTAGTATCCGATGTCCCATCGCTCTCGCCGCCAGGCTTGACCCAGACAAAGGCATCAGCCAACTCGTCTCCAGTATCGGTCGTCGGCTGAGCACCGAAGCCAGTATCCTTGACATTGCACCAGTCACCCCACGCGCTCTGTCCAGTAGGCTGCTTTCCATTGCGACCTAACCCAGTGAGTCAGACTAAACATATCGCTACGTATAACAGAAACACTCACCCGTATCGGTAATGAAGTGGGCATCACATCCAGCACTAGAGAGCTCCGGTGCAAAGGCATTGATGTAGCTCTTCTCATCACAGACATCGTTGCCTGATGTATAAGAGGGGCAAGTGTCGATGCTCCAGGCATTGAAGTTAGCTACGTTTGTAGCGAGACCACGAACAGCTGCTGGAGATGATGCGTTCTTATACACCGATGCGTAGAGTTCCGCCGCGGGACCGATGTTGGCAGGCCATCCCAGCCATCCCGCATGGCCTGTGGACATCGTTAACTGCGCTCAGTATCTTCAATAAACAAGACGTACCAGCATCAAGATACATAGCCACGTTCGGCAAATTCAACTGCTCGAGGGCATAGTTGGTGCATTCCAGGTAAGCAGATTGAGCATTGGCGCATTTAGCCACATCGAGATTCGTCACCAGGTTAGCCAAGCTATCCGGTTCTGCGAGAATAGATCAGTATCTTATTACAATTCACTCCCGAGCAACCCCAGGCAGGAGGCACTCACCGATGATCAAAATAGTCTGAACATCCGAATACGTCTCGACCTGCTCGCGAATAGAATCAATGTACGCCTTATACTTCTCCACGCCGCCATCACTGATCGCGTATTCACCATTACTAGCCAAGGCAGCGCAATCCCGATCCGGCAGGTCATAGACGACGAAGATACCAGCAATGGGAGGATTCGCTCCAGCGGCGTTTTGCGTCTGGATGTCATCCAGATATTCACCCATGGTAGGCACCTTGTCGGCCGTGTCTCTGAACATTAAGTATCGCATCATCAGCCCAAAACCAAAAATTTCTCTGAGGGGATGCTCACAGCCAGTAAAATGAAGGCACATCGGCTGCAGCACTCGCCTGCGCGACCAGCGAGCTGGCAGACAATGATGGAATAGCCGAACTCTCCACTTGCGACTTATAGTAAGGATTCACATAGAGCTGGTATCCCTCAAAGGGATTGCCGGTAGCAGAGGCAGTCGGCGCCGGAGAGCTCGAAGCAGCAACGGACGCTGAAGCAGTCGCGCTTGCGGCGGGGAGGGCATGGACGGCAGAGAAGAGAGAGACGAGGGGCCAGATGGCTCGCATGTTGATGGAGTGCATATTCATGAGATAGCCTGGTACTAAGCGGAGTGTATTTGTGTTTTGGCTCTTATTACTGACTACTATGCAACTCTGCTGAATATATCTGTTCACTTTATATCAGTCCACTTCTATAGACGCGATTATCCATTACCGAAAATAACAAGGAGTGGTGAAGTAAATCCGGCTAAACATCTTCTTCCGTAACAGGCCAAGACGCCTGAATATATGGACTAATTGTTCCTGCAAGGACATTGTCGTGATGAGGAAAACTGTTCCGTGTCTCAAGACGGACTCTCCGTAGCCGAAAAGGCTTCGGTCCGGTCGATCTTCATCTCTACAAGGCTATGTCCGCTCTCATGGGCGAAGCTACGGATAAATGGTTTATATTGAGGACTGTTTCAGCTGCATTAGTTCAGGGTTCTTTCCTCTCCTGCATAACGTTAGTGGTCACAGGCACGGGAAAATTCAACGTCATTCCTTCCAAAGGACCCCTGAAATCCGGTTGCACTCAGCATCAGTTTGGATTAAACCAGAATACTGCTAGGTAGTGGTGACTACAAAACTCCGATCACAAAACATCACAGATGTAGCTATCCGGTCCAACGGTCCGACGCTCCATTTGGAAGGTGAGGCATTCCTACTAGAGGGGAGATGGCCACGTCTTCAGGGCAGTTTTGGGGACAAGATCAAGTTTGGCTGAACTAACTCTCTCCTAAATACATAGAATGATTGTTCGGACTAGATGTAGAGCTCCTCAAGCAGAAGCTATTGATCAATGTGTTTTTGGTCTTTTCGTATGTTAACGTCATCTGTCACCTCATGTTTGGAATATAAAGGTATATGGTTCAGATAAATCACAACAATAAGAAATGAATGACTGTCAAAGTCTGTATGTTCATAAGTATCACGGCTAAAAAGCCCGCCCATAATGTCGCGAAGCATGATCACACTCTGCTATGAATTTGCGTATTCCATCCGATCCATCGTACTCGGAGGCACTTTCGGGTAATCCAATGCTTGCGACTTCAGCAAAAAAGGCCCGATCGCCAAGTTCGCTGACATTGATGCTGGAATATCCTGACGGAGAAGACATCCATGGGTTCTCACCGAACATGGTAACATCCTCAAAGCTGAGCTGATTTAGGGGCTGCTTGTAGGGTTCGGGAGATGCTTCTGACACATCCTCCGGAGACATCATGGCATGCCAATCAACCTCCTCAGGAGCCTGTGACTTTATGGTCCCAGAGCGGTAGAAGTAGTCGTTCACGTCAGGAGAAGCTGGCATACTAGGGGCAAAAGGAAACAAGAGAGCAAGATCGGCACCTGTACGAATGTCGAAGTCTTCATCCTGCACTATCTTGCCCCTCTGAACGCCAGCCTCGTCACACAGACGTTCAACAGTACTAGCATCGCAACCAGGGAACCGCACCCGAATCGTCGAATTATCATGTAGCAAAATGGGCAGTTCACCCAGTGTGGATAGCCTCTTCAGGTCGTTAAGCACAGCAGCAAGATCCTTGAGAGCACGGGCAAAGTCCGCGGACAGGAAATCCAAGAGACCGTCCGAGTTGATGGTCTGGGCGTCACCAGCACCAGTCGCTACCAGGTTCTTCTGCAGACCGAAAGCGGTGATAGTTGGGGAAATCTGGAAGTCGACAAAGGAGCCGGGTGCCGTGCGAGGGATCGCCGCCATCTTGCGCTCGGCCTCATCCTGAAGCTTGCTCACAGTCTTGAAGCGCTTGTTGCCAGTAATGGGATCGACTCCATCAAAGCGAGCCTTCTGTCCCGAGAGGAAGAACGCCCGGACACCGACAGAAACATTGTTGATGACCTGGGCAGGGGCAGCTGCGCCGTGAGAGAAGTATCGAGCCCCACCAATGCGACCGGCACCAATTGCATAACCACCCGCCGTGCGGCCTAGGGTGCCGCCCGTCAGATTCGGACGAAGTGTTGATGCAAAAGGAGCATTTTTAGTCAAGCGACTGACATTAGCTGCGACTCGAGATGTCTTGTAGGCAGTACGCTCGCCCTGTAGGCCACTGCGAATGTAGGAGACGAAGGAGCTTGCTGCACGGGTGGAGTAGTAGTGGCGACCACGAGCTTGACGGATAGCAGCAGCCCGGTTGATAGGGTGTCTGTTGACTACACGCACATACTCAGGCTGAAGGCGAAGTGAGCTCTGTTGGAATTGCTCTGGGAACCTAGACTTGATAGTCTTGTAGGCCTTCTCGTAGGCAGACCTGGAGGCCGTTAGCGGAATGAAGTATATCCGAGTGGCGAATGACTCACCTGGCTGCTCTCCAGAACTTGGGGAGCAGCAGGTGCCCGTTTGAAGGCGGCATCCTGACTGCAATCGAATGGAGAGATTTATAGATGTTTCTCAGATGGAATAACCATCCTAGGATGATGGTAGATGGAAGAGAGATAAGGGGATGACGGAGGGACCTGGCCTGATGACGGAGCAGCCCGGGGTGGCGGTGCGGCATGTGATCCGGCGCCACGTGCTCCCGTAATTTTGGGTCATCCCAGTATGTATCCTCATGCTATGTTAGCAATTACTGGATGCTATTTAGCATGTTTTTCTGATCATTCACGTATGTGATACAGCATATTTCGGGCCAGTGGCAGGCTTCTGGAGTTAATTACATATAAGTGAACAAAGACTAGGTCGATCATAATTCTACCTTCACATTCCAGGGAAGGTCGCCTTGACACTACAGGAAGAATTGCCTCGAAATGAGGATCCTGCTGTCGGCGGTCTAGTTGTGCTTCGACAACACGTTCTATGTTTGCGCACAAATTTACATCAAAAGTATGTTCAAGCGTATGTACATTTTGTTTTGCTTTCTATAGCTCTATTTCACATGGATATCATCATAGTCTCGTAGATAATAGTTTACTCGTCGTCACCGAAGAAAACCTTGACGGGGAGCCAGTCGTCACCGCAGACCTTGAAGCGGTCCTTGAGGTTGTCCAGCTGATCAATCTCCTCGGCGGTCAACTCCCAGCCATCAAGCTCGAAGTTGGCGTCGATGCGAGACTTGCTGACCGACTTGGGGATGACACTCCAGCCCTTCTGCACACCCCACAGGAGCAGAACCTGCTGGGGAGTCTTGCCCTTCTTCTCGGCCAGCTTGAGGAGGGTCTCATCCTTGTAGAGAGGAGAGTTGGTGGAGCCGAGGCAAGAGTAGCCGGTAGAGTGGATGCCCTTGGAGGTGTTGTAGGCAACCAGCTTAGGGGAGGGGTTGTTGGGGTGCAGTTCGATCTGGTTGACAGCAGGGACGATCTTGCAGCTGGGGTCGTTCAGGAGCTTCTCGAGGTTCTTGATGCCGAAGTTGGAGACACCAATGTTACGGACCTTGCCGGTGGCGGGAAGCTTCTGCATCTCTTGCCTGGATGGTGTTAGCAACGCTAACTACTGTATTTTCAAGAAGAGAAACTGTACCAAGTCTTGATGAAGTCCCAGTCGGGGAGGTGCTTCTTCAGGTCGTTGGGGTCAGTGCAGCTGGGCCAGTGGACAAGGTAGAGGTCGACATAGTCGAGGCCAAGGTCCTTGAGGGAGGAGTCAATGCCCTCGGTGACACGGTGGTGCCAGGTGTTGTCAAGCTTGGTGGTAACCCAGATCTCCTCGCGAGGGACACCAGAGTCCCTGATACCCTGTCCAACCTCGGCTTCGTTGCCATAGGCAAGGGCACTAATTATGGAATTGTCAGACTGAGTTCTTCTAGATTGTCCGGCAATTGGGGGCTGCTTCCAACTTACGTGTCGATGTGACGGTATCCCTTCAGGAGAGCATTCTTGACAGCCTCTCTAACCTCGTTGGGCTTGGATTGCCAGGTACCGAGACCAACGGCGGGGATCTTGGCGCCGGTGTTGAGGGTGTAGACCTTCCTAAGGAGCGGAAAATGATTGTTAGTAAGTTCAACAATCCCTCATGTGCTGCACGTTCAATGTATTTCAACTGAAGCTCAGTTAAAGAGATGGGATAGCTCACTTGGTGTGCTCGAGGTTCGACATATTGTGCGATTGATTGGTGATTCCGAGGGGTATGGAAGGATGAATAGGAAAGATGATGAATGGGGGATCAAGAAAATGAAGAATTGATCAGTCTGGGTGAAGGTGGGCTTTATAGCAAGGTGGATGCAAGCTCCGAGGGCGGACCGGACGAGAGAGGAGGCAGGTCCATCCAGCACACCATGAGCGGGACGATGACGATGGAGGGGCACGACCTGCCCCTCCTAGAGATAGTGGGGAGCGTCAGAGGCATCGCTGGCCAGTGATCACCCAGGCATTCTTTTAGCGGACGGACCCAAGGGTCGGGTCTCCTGCATTGGAAGGTCGGTTTCAGCCAACGATAACTACGGATTCAGTCATTTCCGATCTGTAACCTGGGGCTCCTGTTTTGCCGTTATCAAAGGAGTTACCACCGAGCCCGAACGGGGATGAAGCCCTTGACATCGGTCAGTTGCGCTTAAACGAGGTTGTCCGAGTGCTGTCTATCACTCAGGGAGTAGTAGGTAAAGATCAATGAGTTGATAGCAGGTTAAAAACTATTGGAGAAAAGCATACAAGAGCATCAAATTGCCTAGCCAATTGTATCATATTGTGGAACTGCTACTGTTCAGGGAATCGAAACATCGGATTACCAGGGCTCATTGTGCCGATAACTTATGAGAACGTACTGAAGACACCGGAAGGCAAACTCTGGGTCACTCAGGATGAAAGTCGTCCCAGTTACTCTGTACAGTAGGACTTTCTAGGTAGAGGATAATATGGACGGTCTTTTAGCCAGCGTGGTTCTTCTGAACCACAGCCCCTCAGATGACTAATGAGGCATTTTGCCTAAATTGACCAAAACAGCAGAACTCCGCCGCTCCGGCGTGGGTCTGCCTCAGGCCCAATCGCCATGAACCACCTCTGCTTCGCCGCCTGTTTCTGCCGGTCCACTGCTGTGGCTCTCGGTTGGCAACGGTCACAAGTGAAGGAAGAAGCCGCCGGAAGTTAGCAAAGCAAAGCCGCCCGTGACGTTGCTCGCCGCCGTTTACAATATTCTCGCATTGGATCCATTGCCGGAGGCTCTTGTAGATCCACGGCCATTGTGACCTCCGCCAACGAGATCACCATGTCGTCTGGATTCGTATCCGCCGGTACGAATCAGGAGCCAATCGAACGCGACGATGAATGGCGTCGTGTACAGAATGAGCTCGAGGAGGAGCGGAAGCGCAAAGCAGAGCTAGGGAGGCAAGAAGATGGCAAGAGCTTATACGAAGTACTCCAGCAGAACAAAAGTGAGTCTCCACATTGTGCGGAGATGCCATGAGGCGCGTGTGCTAGGAGACGCCTTGGATTGACATGTTAGGGTGATGTGTTTTGTCGCGCAAAGTGGCCAAGCAGGAAGCTTTTGAAGAGAAGATCAAATTGAAGAACCAATTCCGTTCGCTGGACGAAGACGAAGTCGAATTCCTCGATTCTATCATGGAGTCCACCCGGGCCAAGGAAGCTGCGGTCAAGAAGGAGACTGCCGAACAGCTGGAGTTGTTCCGTCGACAGCGAGAAGAGGCAGAGAAAACTCTGCTGGAGGATACATCTGCGGATGTCGCACCGGCCGCTGAAGGAGAGGACTGGAAGATTCCTGCCCGCAAGAGACGTCGAGAGAAGAGCAAAGACCTTCTTATACCCGGTAAAAAGCGCAAGTCTCTGGGGGGTGACACTACTGGAAACTCCTCGAAAGAACAAAGTGCGGACAAAGAATCCGGAAAGGTCGATAAGAGTGACCATGAAAGCGAGCCGGAGCCAACGCAAAAGAAGCCGGAAGAGTCAAAGCCAGCAGCTGCATTGCCTGGAGCAAGCAAGCCTGTACAGGATTCAAAATCAAGCCCAAAGCAGACTGCATCGAACGCAGCAACAAACGCACCTTCGTTATCCCTTGGATTAGCCGACTACGGCTCAGATTCAGAATGATTTTGATGTGTTGTACAATAAGCACTTGGTGTCCCTGCTCTTTACATTCGTGCTCTCCGTCGCTTGAGATTCTGCGCCTGCGGACTGCTGATGCGGTATCATTAAAATGTACATGATGCTTCGTCCCTCTGGGCTCGAGGGATACTAGCTTGCTTGCACTGGAACATCAGCAACGGGGCCTTTGGATCACTAAAAGCATTTAGGTCTTATCTATATCGCATATCTTATAATAGTACATGCTAGGTTTCAGAAATGGCAGTTATTACAATATTTGTAGGCTTGAGATTCATGTGTATCAAGATTCAAATACCGAGACTTACAGTACTTGATGATAAATTAGGAGGACCACGCGAGTCTGTTCGCTTCAAGAATTACACTTCACCATGCTCACTTAGCACTCCATTAATTCCGAGCAAGTGCGAACTACGCAACTACCGTTGCGATCAATATGATTTAGTGCCAGTAAGAACATATGCCTCCTACTCAACCCTCTGATCAAAACAGAAGACATAACGAGCTGACCTGCAATTCTCTTCCGTCTTTTCCAGTGCTCAACTCACCTCATTGTGAGTAGCAAAAACCTCTCTCTTCTCCGCCTCCTCCTCAAGCCTCCGCTGTAAATCATGAGGGACATAATCCCCCTTACGCTTTCCCGCCACAATCCACGGAGAATTCGAGAACAGATAGTTCATCTCTTCCAGCGGCAATTTCTTCGTCTCGGGAAGCAAGAGCCAGAAGAACACCGCATTCGTGAAGTTGCAGATGATGAAGAGGAAGTAGTATCGATAGCGCACACTCTCCATGGCAATGGGAGTCACCTGCCCAATCATTGTGTTGAATGCATACGATGTCATAGTAGCCAACGAAACGCCCTTCGACCGCGTTCGGGTGTCGAATACCTCTGCTGGGATGATCCAGGACAGAGGGCCGCATGTGCACGAAAACGAGAAGTTGTACAGCCAAGTCATGATGATAAAGCCCCAGTGGGCTCCGGTGTTGTGGCTTTCTGGGGGGAACTGCGCTAACAGGATGCAGGCAACGATGAATGTTACCATGTTCCCTAGGTTACCCCAGATCAGAGTCCAGCGGCGACCGACTCGGTCGATGAAGAGAATGCAGAGGAACTGAGCTACTAGGGCGATGATGGAGTTGATAGCCTGGTATTGTAGCGTTTTGTCGCCACTGATGCCGATTTGACCATAGATGGTCACAGAGTAGTATCTATCAAATGAGTGGTGAGACTTTGGGGTTATCATCATATAGATTTATAGGGGGTACTCACTGAATTGCCGACACACCGGTCATCTGTACGGATGCCTGCAATGCGCAACAAAGGAACAGGCGACGGAAGGACGACCGTGATGTAAAAAGCTCCTTGTAGGACTTGGCCTCGTGCTCATGCTCAAAGACAATACTTTCTTGGATCTGATTAAATTCCGCACGGACCCAGGGATCCTCTTCGTTGCCATGGGCATGAAGCATTGCCAATGTCTTCAGGCCTTTCTCGTGCTGACCGTGGTCAATGAGCCACCGGGGTGACTACTACTCATCAGCATGAATGCAGGATAACGATGAGACATTGCGTACCTCGGGGAAAAGCATGATCAAAAGTCCCAGGAAGACAGCTGGTGCAATCTGAAGTCCAAGGGGTAACTGCCATTGTGTGTCATTGGTTTCGGAGAATCCAATATATGTGCCGTACGAGATCCAAGCAGCACATAAAGACCCAACTCCTAGCATGAATTGCTGCAGAGCAGTAACACGACCACGAATGTCCGGATGGCAGATCTCAGCCTGGTACAGAGGGATAATCATAGTAAGGAAACCAACCCTGCAAACAGATTAACCCATGATTTTGAACGGTCGCTGAGCATAGAGTAGCATACCCCAGGCCGGCAAAGAACCTTCCGCTATAGAGGAAAGCAACAGTTCGTGCTCCAGTCTGAAGACCACCTCCGAGGCAGAAGAGAACACAACCGACAGTAATGGTCCATCGTCGGCCTAGCTTGTCACCACTAGGGCCTGCAAACGCTGCACCAAAGAAAGCACCTGCAGTGAACATGGACACCACAAGTCCACTACGAAATGTCAGAGCACTTCAACATGCCAGGAACTAGCGACTCACGATTGAGTGTCATTCAAATTAAATCTGGATATGAACGATCCGCAGGCGATGACTTCAGCGATCACACCTAGATCGTCTGCGGAGACTAGTGTTAGGCCCCGTGGATCCACAGCAAGGAGGAAGAGTATACACACATCCATACAAGAATGAACCCAGCGAGGCGAAAACGCCTACTAGGAACTGGAAACTCAGTTAGCCCATACTTCTTAGCATGTAATTAGAAGGTTGACTGACTTGATACCATGCTGGGGAGAGACGCATGATGGTAGAAAGCGCTCCTAATGCTTTAGTGTCTCGGATCACTAAACTGAGCTAAACGACAGAAATGCGGAGACCAAATCTGGGGTACAGGACCCTCGGCCATTTAAGAACATCTGGAGATTGAGCCGCGCATTCCACGTGTATAGCCATTCTATGGGCCATATTAACCTCAAATCTCACTGAAAAGGATATGAGCATCTCGGTTAATTGAGATTTAAACGAGGCCGTCGGCGAGGAAGCCATTTAGGATCGTGTTCTAGGAATCTCAGGATTCAACACAACCGAAGCCACTGAGTAACATGCCATGCGTGACCTATCGCTAGCGACTACCCTGGTCAAGCCAAGTAACGCTTTGTCGATACGGGAATGGTATCAATATGCACGGTTTCTGAACCAAGAAAAGATTCCCGTCTGACAAGCGTGCTGATTGATGGAATATTGCCGTGGCGTTGCCTCGGCTTGATCCCCAAGCCAACGGCGTAAGAGCACCATGCATCTCATCCACTCCCGACGCCCTAACAGACCATCATCGCGTGGTGCACACGAGAGTCAGTCGCAGGTCTGGAATCACCCCGCAGGGGATTTCCCCGATTTATGCGGGACTCCAGGTAATAGCTCCCGCACATTAATATCTGTTGCTAGTCTGCCATCGTACTGGCTTTCGACAAATCCTCTCTGGTAGAGTTTACCGTCTTGATTTCCTCTATACCAATTCAGATTAGGTTATTACTTACCCTACTTGGAACCTTGTCAAATCATTCGCGCCATGACCACCTTCACCAAGCTTAGTGACCAGGATGCGCCTAGTATTTCCATCCACCCAGAGAGGCGTCTTTCCAAGATCAATCCGAATATTTACGCGGGGTTTACAGAGTAGGTCTACTGCCCAAGACTCATTTGCCTTGTGAGCAACTTAGCAGTGAGCTCACGTATCGTTAGGCACATGGGCAGATGCATTTATGGGGGCATCTATGATCCAGGCAATCCACTGTCCGACGAAAATGGTTTCAGAAAGGATGTCCTCGGAGCTCTGAAGGAGCTCAACATCCCTGTCGTCCGATACCCCGGTGGGAACTTCATGGCGACTTATCATTGGATCGATGGGGTTGGGCCGAAGGAGAAACGGCCATCTAGGTATGTCCACATGATCATTTGGCCTTCCACATATGCCTCGTACATGTGCTTTAACTCCGTTGCTGCTAAATCCCTCCTGGGATAGTAAATATTTTCTTTCGTTCTTACAGATGTTGTAAGGCTAATCTCGCTGCTTCTATAGACCTGAGCTGGCATGGTTGGGAACAGAGACCAATCAGTTCGGCACTGATGAATTCCTGAAATGGTGCGAAGTTTTAGGCACTGAGCCCTACTTCTGCCTGAACTTTGGAACTGGTAATGTGATCCGTTCTACTTGAAACACAAGCGCTGACGTATAACCAGGTACTCTTGACGAAGGTAACTTATCCTATCTCTATACAAGGCACATCACTAATGGGCTTTGGTATAGCGCTGGCGTGGGTCGAGTACTGTAACGGTACTAAAGATACATACTATGCTAACCTTCGGCGGAAGAATGGTCGCGAGGAGCCATACAATGTATGATCCCGAATACCCTATTCCTCAGGCTTCCTATGTACTCATTCATGCTCCAGGTCAAATACTGGGCCCTGGGCAACGAGACTTGGGGTCCCTGGCAGGTCGAACAGATGACCAAGGAAGCATATGCTCACAAAGCCTATCAATGGGCCAAGGGTAAGCCATCCGTTGCTCTTCTCATAAACACCTACTGATACGGTCTATAGCCTTGAAGCTCCTTGACCCCAGCCTGATCTTGGTCCTCTGTGGACAAGACGGCACAGCTTCATGGGACTACTACACCCTCAAGCAATGCCTGCTCCCAGCACACTCCCCTCTATCTACCAGCACCGTACCTCTCATCGACATGCACAGCATCCATCTATACACAAGCTCTCCCTCCCATCTCCCCAATGTCACCGCCCCACTAGCCGCAGAGCGTGCCATCGAAATCACCTCATCTCTAATCGATCTCGCCCGGATCGAGAACGGGGTTCCACCCGACCAACACCGACCCACCATCTGCTTCGACGAATGGAACGTCTGGGATCCCATTCGCGCAGAGGGCAGCAAGGGTGCAGAAGAGTCCTACACTCTCTCCGACGCATTAGCAGTCGCCGTTTACTTGAATGTGTTTGTCAGAAAAAGCAAAGACCTGGGCATGGCTTGCATCGCGCAGAGCGTTAATGTCATCTCCCCACTCATGACAAGCAAGGATGGCATCATTAAGCAGACAACTTATTGGCCTTTGTACCTGTTCTCGAAGTATATGCGGGGATGGACTATCAGTGTGCATCTATCTTGTGCTTCTTATGAAGGGGAAACTTCTCCGAAGTGGGTGCGCGGAGTCAAAGATACGCCTTGGTTGGATGTTAGCGCTACCCTCGGTGAGGATGGGTATGTGAATGTTGCGGTGGTCAATATTCACGAGGAAAAGGATATCACGAGCAACATTGATGGGCCGTCTGGGCCGATCTCGATCTTTACTGTTACTGGAGAGAGTGTCCAGGCTTGTAATATGAACGGCAAAGAGGAGGTTGTTGTGACCGAGAGTACAGGGGAGGCGAAGGGACAATTTGTGTTCCCGAAACATTCTTTGACGTTGCTGAGATGGAAGCTAGAGTAAATGGCTATTGTTGAAGTTTACTAAAGAGATAGGTTGCACCGTGCCGTCTGATAGAATGCTATAATGTTCTTCGGTTCACATCACAGTATGTTGGTGCTTCGGTAGAATGGAAGACTACATCATTCAAGCAGATGACAGAATGCCACACTATAACGAACAACATTATTTCAATAGATCCCTCTCAGAATAGTACATAAAGTATCGTCCCATAATATCGTAACAAGTCACATCACATCTTTAAAAGTCGTAATCCAGACATCAAGTATCACCCTCTAGCCAAAGGTCACATCATGAACAGTGTCATCGTCACCCAAGTGGATGTTCATCCTAAGACACAAATCCATCAGCATTTGGACAGTATACATATAACAACAGGGGCAAACTAACCGCTCTGGCCTCATGTCCATTGTCTTAGCATCACCAGGCTTGAGCACACGGTGTTGCTGGGGGAGGTCCTTCTTCGCAAATGACTATATTACACGATACGTTAGCATCAGTCAAAACGTTTCCCACACACACAAGATACAGCAACATTTAGCTCAAGAAGAAGGAAGAGAGTCATACAGTCACATCACTCGACGACTCAGTGAGCTTCTTGCCTGCCAGCTTGTTGAGCCATTCCTCTTGGCTGGCACCACCAGAGGTGTTGTTGATTCCGGGGACGACGAGAGGCATGATGGTAGTTTGCTTTGTATCTTCGAAGTCGTGAGAAATTCTTGATTCTTTTGAGTAATAGGAAAAGTAAGTGGAGATAGATAAGTTTGGGTTTGGAAGTGGGAGATAAGCCTGACAGGCACCCTTCATTACTTATATATACTTTCTGTTACATTGGGACCCTGGCGATGACATCATGCCGGTGGATGGGGCTTGGTGTGGCGGTGCTGATGACGTCGATCTGTTTCGGGACTAGCGCTATTGGGAGGGCGGCATGTCACATGAGTGCGAAGTGATATATGGGATTTGTTGATGGCTTCACTTTTGAGTTGATTCCTCCATCGAGGGTCATGTCATCAGATTTACTATTGAAATTTAGTATCCCTGTGTGTCAGGAACTTGTGCAGATTCCTGGCGGCTCTCTTGTAGTATGATGTACATACTCGCTGCCTCAAAAGCACAGTATATCGCCAACTATATATATCGGTTTATACTCATTGTTCACCGGACTTTCACCTGATGTTTGAATGATATAGTTCATACTATGAATTTTGGAAACTGAATGAGAAGCTTACTACTCGTACCACTAATAGAGAAAAATACCCTCTTCAGGCGCTACTATGCTAACCTTAGGTTCCACATTTATACTTGAGTCTAGGAAACCACAACCCAGCCGTGATTCTCAGAGCAGTTGCCTCTATTATTCGCCGATATCATTTAAGCCGTGCTGCAACGGACAGATTACTTATTCTTTGACACTCTAAAACGTTCCTGAAATGCTACTGACTCGACGCATTTGCTCTAATGGCAGCGATTATCAATATACAAGCTACCGTCATCGAACAGTTGTACTGCACCTTCGATCTTTATACACATCACGCGTCCCATTATTAGACATTCTTGCCTGCACCGAAAGAAAACCGGCAAACTACACAGCTCTTTGCTTCACAGCCCCGCGTTCCTGATGCTGTTAGCTTCTATTGTGCCCTCAAGGGCCACTACCACATCCAGAAGGGCTCTGGGGCAGCAGTCACGAACATCTGCCGGGATACTGGAAAGCACCTATAGCCCGCTAAACAGAGGCTATGGGGGCATGCACTTGTGGAACAGGAACAGTGAGGTCGTCAAACATCGGCTAGACACTGTTCTTGATGGTCTTGATTATGCCAGAGACTCCCAGCTTGCAACTCGCTCAAACACCTCATCGCAGGAAATGGCTACAAATGAGGACGGTGCAGCACAGGCTGGGATATCTCTGGTGAACCTACGTGCAGACCCTCGGAGACCAGCGTATATGAATCGGAATTGGATACCGCATTGGAGTTACCAGAAAAGCTCCATTGCTGCCGCGTGCATATTTACAGCCATCACAGTAATGGCTTTGACTTTCTTAGCTATCCTATCCATCAAGAAGGCTAAAAGAAGCTGGGAGCGACACAAACGTGAAAAGCAAGATTATGCAAACTCCGGTTACTCTGCTCTCACCTTGCTCGAGGAAGGCCACAAAATGACTGCGACGAGCAGCAAGCAGATAAGCCGAGAGACTTTGATGTTCAGTAGGAGTCGTTCGCCATCTTCGACCTATCTCATTGAACAAGACGGTCCCTCCGTGACGAGAGTTTATCACACGAGCAAAAGCGTCTCTACGATTACGCTCGACTCGCCCAGCTCTACCCTGGGAGATGCAGGCTCTACAACTGAGTTGAACGCAATACCGGAACGTCCAGCCAGCGCGTTAAAACGTTCCCGCCACGAACGTCATGGCTCGAAGGCCAGATCAATCGTTGTCGTACCGTCACCCTTGAGGGCATTCTCAGTGAAGCCGATGATACACCACACAGACCCAGCCTACGGCCTGGAGCGGACTTCTTTGAACGTCGAACATGAGGGCGGTAATGTCCCGTCGAACAGCAAGCGTGACTCCGCTAGTGGTAACAGCTTGTTTAAACTTCCAGCAATCCAAAGAACAATGTCTCCTCTTTTCTCCTTTTGACTTACAGGACTATGGGATGGTGTGCTTGTTGGGTACGTGTTTGGTATAGTCACATCCGACTAGGAGTTGTAATTTCCAAGCCGGAATTGGAAGTCAGGGACTTTTTGTCTTCTTTCTTTTTTCCTTTCTGTCTCTATAGAATATTTCTTCTCGTCATGATACAAACAGCTGTACGAGGCCTTTTTGCTCTTCGAGACCGAAGTAATAGGAGGCCATGCACCTTCTCAATAGCCAAAAGTTACCGAATACGGGTTCATATCCCAACTTTCCAATCCAAAACCAGTGCAATCCAAATATTAGGAAAAGCTAAGGCCCAGTAAAAGACCGAGACATAATATATATCCAAGGCAGCAAGCAGCACCGCATTCCTTCCGCCTTAGCCATCTAGTATGCTCCCAAAGCAAAGAGATCATCCATAACAACCCAGCTTAAGAGAAAGCCAATCGGCACTACTGGTACTTAAACAAGCCACCACTCCTACAAATAAGACCACTCATATCATCACATCGTCGGATTTATATTAGTAGTATATGAATATAGGTTAGGTTAACAACGCAGCTAAGCAGTCCTCTAGACGCATCACAAGCGAGTGACAAGCGACCAGACCAACCAACACAACACAACACAACGTGAAAGAGCAGACCAAGATCATAAATGGCAACACAGCACACACAACACCGGTCAATCAATCAATCAGTCAATCAATCAATAATAAGTCTACAGAGCTTGCCATTTATAACACGACCAGGATGATGAAATGAAAGATACCAGGTGAAGAGAGTAAAGCAAAACGCACTCAAATGAAGGAGGAAGAAGAAAAGCAAATACACCGCACCGCCGTACATGCATGATTTGTAGATAATAATAGGATGATACAACAGGGTGAATGGATAAATGAAAGTGAACAGATCTATCGCATCTCACGCACTCCACGTAAACACCGCTCTAGGCGATTCCCTCGTTCGCGTTCTCGGACTAAGGTTGCTCGGACGAAGGAGCGGATGGCATCTCGTCCGACTTTCTCGCGCCAGGTGGTCCAGCCTGCTAGTTCGCCGACAACCACATCCTTATTCCAGGTGATTTCGCGGGAGAGACGAGCGATCTGGAGTTCGGAGTCCTGGATCTTGGTTTCGAGGTCACGGACAGACTTTTGGCGGGATTCTTCGAGACCCGGGAAATTGATGTTGAATTTCCGGGGGAGAGAAGAGGATACGAGAGATGAGCGCTTGCGGGAGAGGTTTCTGTTTGTGGATGAAAGGTTGTTTATAAGGGAGATGGGACGAGAGAGGGATGCTAGGATGGCGGTTGTGGTGTTGTCGATTGAGGTCAGGGCCGTGAGGAATTGAAGGAGAGGAGAAGAGTCGGAAGATGAAGTGGAGAGATGGGTTGCATAGCGGGTGAACGCATCGACATAGGAGGCTGGTAGAGCGTTGGTCGGTTCCTTGAGGGTTGAGACAACGGAGGCACAGAGGGCCACGGCGTCTGCAATGTCGGATGCAGAGTTTTGGAGAGCGTGGCCGCGACGAAGCAGACTGCGAGTGTTGACGTGGACGGCGCGGACCATGTCCTGGGCGTGAGAGACGAATTGCTCTGTCTCGCGCATGCCTTCGGGTGTGACAGGTTCGTAGTCGTCGTTGATGGACTCCGTGAGAACCTGGGCTTTGCGCTGCGAGCGGTCTGCCATCATCTCGGGCTGCAGTTCGGGAACCAGAAAGAACTCCCACAGCATCTCGTGAGTGGCGAAGGTTGGATGCGTGAGCAAGACCTTGAGGAACCTGTCAAGCTTTTCTTGCATGTCATGGAGCACAGAGCGGGACGGTTTGGAGTGAATCTGGAAAGGGCTACGGAAGTCGGACAGAGACGGCATATAGGAAGCCGGATGTTCGATCGACAGGCACCTGGCAAGGTTCTCGAAGTCAGAGAACGTGCGACGGCATGTGGTGACTGTGAAGGTTGTCCCTGACGCAGGACGGGACTCTGCTGAGTTGATGGTTGGGTTCGGGGCACCGGACTTGAGAACAAAGCGCACTGTCGCATCCTCAACAAAGTATGAGCGCACCACCGTCGTGACACGACCAGACTGCTCGTCGTAGGCTGATGGGGGGTTGGAGAGAAGGATGAGATCGTCAATGCGATTGCGCACTTCATCATCCTTAGCAAGTTCGACAGCAGTCAAACCACGGCTTTCTTTCAGGTGAACATCAACTCTAGGGTCCATGAAAAGGATCCTGACCTGATCGATGCGGCCGTACTTGCTGGCCATCATGAGAGGAGTGAACCTTTTATCATTTGTTGCATTTGGATCACAGTCACATTCTTGCAAGAGGCGGATGGTAATTTCCGGATCGCTAACGATATGCAACAATGTATTGCCTCTAGAGTCAACATGATTATCGAGGCGCAAGGGCTTGCCATCACTTTGGGCAATTTGGGCGGCCGTGAGTGCTTCTTTCACCATCGAGTTGTAGTCCGGGTGATCGTAAGACCTGCATAGAGCGAACAGTGGCGTCTGTCCATGCTTGTCGCGTTGACACCACGGCAGCAGTCCTTCCAACCTATGCATTACCGATGGCGTGCTGAAGAGGTAGTGTGCAACCGTACGCCCATGCATGTCTGACTTTTGTAGGTACGATGCAATGGTGTGCTTATCCGTTGAACTGAATAGGAAGTTCAATAGAATGTCCACCATTTCGACATGAGCAAGCTGAACAGCAGCACTAAGTAATGTGGTTCCATTTGTATTTGTGTCCTCGAGAATATCCGCCAGCGGATAGTAATCTTGAAGGCTCAGCAGGTATTTCAAGGCGTCTGGCTGGCGGCTTTCTACGGCCATCATCGGAATCGAGTCGCCTGCAGGATCTTGCGTTTTCGTCAATGTCTCAATTGAACTGTCCCCCTCAATCGCGCTTGAAATCGAGCCCATTCCCGTTGTCCGGGAAGCCAAAGATATCCCAGATGATTCAGACAGGCTGCGGACATCCATGGAAACCTTCTTCACAGGGCGTCGGATCTCTTTCGGGGGGGTCGT